GACATTGGTCTTGCTCATTGCATCTCCCTCCTTATTTTCTTTTTGGGCCGTTTATAAAATAAAAAAAGCACCTTCTGATCTTTTGTCCTGTTTGATGACTCGTTTTTAGGCTTTGGCCGTGGGACAGACGTCCTCATGTTTGACTCTAGAGTACTTTGGTACACAGAGGAGTTGATAGTGGACTCGAGGTGTCCAGGTCCTGCGGCCAAATCATGAATCCTCCGCCGCCACATTTTTATGTGCTGCTATTGGATTACAGCATCAGTATTATTCCTTTTAGGAAGAGCAAAAATAAGCCTTTTGAATGTTATTTTAAAGTTGAATGTTATTTGAAGTCAGGAAAAAAATTGGGACAAACTTAGAAAATAGATAAGTGTTTTAGCAATTCAAAAAAAACTTTTCATAAAGTTCATTTGTCAATTTTTGTTTCTGTTGTGAGTTTAGACTGAAGAAAAACAAATGTATTATTATTATTTCTATTAGTTGTACAAGGCCAGGGATGAGGTCCTAGCTCAAGTGGGGGAGTTTTAAGTATCTCGGGGTCTTGTTCGCGAGCGAGGGAACGATTGAGCGGGAGATGGATAGGCGGATTGGTCTTGCGCCTGCAGTGATGCAGGTTTTTATTGATCTGTTGTGAAGAGAGAGCTGAGCCGGAAGGCGAAGCTCTCGATTAACCGGTTGATCTACGTTCCTACTCTCACCTATGTTCACAAGCTTTGGGTAGAGACCGAAAGAATGAGATCAGGGATTCAAGCGGCTGAAATGATTGTTCTCCACAGGGTGTCTGGGCTCTCTCTTAGGGATAAGGTGAGAAGCTCGGTCATCCGGGAGGGGCTCAGAATAGATCCACTGCTCCTCCACATCGAGAGGAGCCAGTTGATGTGGCTCAGGCATCTAGTTAGGATGCTTAATAGGTACCTCCCTGGTGAGGTTTTTTTGGACACATCCAACCGGGAGGAGACCTAAAGGAGGACCCAGGACACGCTGGAGAGACTATGTCTCTAAGCTGCCCAGGCAGCGCCTTGGGATTTCCCCGGAGGAGCTGGCCCAGGTGGCTGGGGAGAGGGAAGTCTGGGCCTTCCTGTTGAGGCTGCTACCCCCGTAACCCGACCCCGGATAAGCCGGCGATAATGGATGGAAGTAGTAATCATTTCCTTTGTATGTCCCTGTTTATCTGTAAATGTTGTTTACTTTTAAGAAATAAAAATCTGAATGACCCCGGACCATTTAACATGTTTTCTCCTCCTGTCGGTTTCAGATGCCAACTGCTCTCAGCTGTGTGTGGGTGCTGGCGAATGCACCTGCCACGAGGGTTTTAAACTGAAAAGGGATGGAGTGACTTGTGAGGGTAAATCGCATCTAATGTTAACTCAACCACAGCGTAGAAGTAGAAAGTGTTGGTTAAAGTTCTTTCATTTTATTTAACCAATCTCAAGATGTTTCCATTGCTGTTACTGCAAAAGAGAATTTTTTTTTGTACAAATACATTCATCAATGCTCTTGTTCTTCATTTGGTTGAAACATTTTCATTTGATGGTCATAGATTAGCTTAAAGCTTAAACTTCTTCTCGATAATTTGTCCTTTGATCCTTACAGAGATGCTATAATAATAATAATAATAATAATAATGATAATAATAATAATAATAATATTTTGAGGTCATTTCATAGGAAACAATTTAGCCTAAACTAAAAATCTTTCGTTTGACATCATGTTTGTCTCCTCAGATGTGAATGAGTGTCAGACTGGCAGCCATAACTGCAGCTCTGAGTCCGTTTGTGTCAACACCGAGGGCTCCTTCCACTGTTGGTTCAGCTGTCATCCTGGATTCACACTCACAGACGAAATTACCTGCAAAGGTTAAAACTCAAAGGGTCTCATCTTGTCTTAATGAATCAGATTTAGAGTCTAACATGCATTGATCTTTTTTCTACTCGTCTCCAGACATAGATGAGTGCGAGTTTGGGATACATAACTGTGAGCAGAACTCTGTTTGCATCAACACAGCGGGCTCGTTTCACTGCCAGCCAAAGAACTCGTGTGGGGAGGGTTACACTCTGGACGCCACTGGCCGCTGCATCGGTTAGTCTGGCATCACATTCAGACACGACATCCTTCCATGGAGGATGTTTTTCCTTCTGAATGTTTTCTGAACAACCGTGGATTAGACATCAGGCATTATGAGGAGTAGACCAATTTGAAGTCCTTAACCCTGACCCTGAGCTGCAGCGTTTCTCACTCCACTCACACAAAGAAGATTCTCATACGGAAATTGTTTCGTTTTACTTCAGATTTTGTCTCCGTTGCACAAAACGTTGCTAAAAGCAAAGCCCATTATAATAGACTATGACACGCGGTTTAATATCTTTTCCACGGGTTTTTTCGAAGCTGTGGGAGAGGAAATGAGTCAAATTGTGATGAAATCAGATAGCTGGCATGTAAATAAGGAACTTTTTATGAAACTAGCACGGTAAATCAATCAGTTTATTTGTGTAGTACTTTCCACAACCATGGAAGGTGACCAAAGTGCTTTACAGGACACAACAATAAAAGATATTACATAAAACCAGTGCAAGTAAGCACTCATAAAACAATAACATACAACTAAATACAACATATAGAGTGACATGACTAAGCTAAAGAGGAACCTAAAAAAGAGATTAAGAGAGCCACCAGAATAAATCATATTCTCTACATTTTACTGTCAAACTTAACGTATTTAAAATACAAAACACTAATCACAATGAATGGCCTATTTCCCCCAGCTGATCAGGGATCGGGGATATATCACAATTTTTACTTTTCTCTAATTTTTAATAATTTTTTTTTAAGTTGTGAAGTGCCTCGTGATTTTATCTGGTGCTATATAAAATATTGTTTCTTCTCCTTCTATTGCTTTTTTAGCTAAGAAGCAAACTTTGTTTCTAGTTCGCATAAAAAAATCCTTCAGAATTTCAACTAAAACTACTTTATGATTAAACTATCTAGAAATGGTATATCTGTATCTGGTATTTACTTTTAGAGTTTTTAAAGTATGTAAGAGGTACAATTAAAGGTGCAATTTGTAAGAGTTCCACTTTGAAATAATCATAAGACAGTTTAATGCCTCAATTATGTTGGTATAAAGGTTATACTGAAACAGATTTCTTTCTCAGCTGGCTGGGGGTTGACGATTTTTCTCCCTTCCAAAAAAAACCCAACAAAAAACAGGTTGTAGCTCCTGTTTCTGTGAGTTTGCTGAACCTCCAGCGAGCTAACACAGCAGCAGCATTTGTGATTCGACATCGGCAGGTAAACAGCTCCAGAGCTGTTTATAGAACCGAAGCCAGTAAACAGGAGTGACCCAGACGTTATTTCTTGTACCCCTAAGAAACCACGGCATCTTTTTGTTTTACTCTAATATTGAGTGAAGCAGCTTGAACTAATAATGCCAATGGTGAATTAGAAGCAAATGGTCGGCTCTAAAATAATCTCAAGCTACTTTTGCAAATAACAACAACTCCATATTACAGTAAAATGTGTGTTTTCTTTCTTTAATGACTCATTAAGAATTATAAATATAAGCTAACGGCAAGATGGCAAACGACTACATGCCCTATATTGCCAGAGACAAACTACCGTAATAAGTGCAGTAAGTCCTCCCTACCCTAGACTGCTAACACCAGATATAACAATGTACTGTATATATCTACTTGTCAACTTTGCTGTCATCTAGAATCTTCTGCCACTGATCCATAACTGGCACTAGCTATGAAACTCAGAACGGCCGTGAGAAAGTAATATTTTTGATTAAAAAATGGACTAAAGAAACCAGATTTGCCCACAGGATGCCATTTGTACGAATTTCACCTTTAAATGTCTAAAATTTGGTTTCTGTGTAGAAAAAAGCAGCTTAAAGTCTTGGTTGAACTCCATAATTTACATGATTAAATTATCTGGTGGTGAATAAAATAGGTTACTAAGAAACAAGTAAAGGAGATGATTGAACTGATTTTTGCATAAAAACTATTTTGCATAAATTATTTTAAATACAAAAAATGTTGCTCACATTTTACACTGGGTGGGTTTCTAACATTTGAAATGAAAGTAACTTACATTTTTTGTGGTTGTTACCAAATTTCCTAACAGTGATTAATTTACAAGAATGTGTCCTGCTGTATTTTAATTTGAATTAATCAGTTCACATTTTAAAGTCCTTTAAATAACTTTTTATTTCTTCTTCAGTCTCTTCTCTGTTTCTTTCCTAACCTCTTCTGCCTCTCTTGCTTTTTTCTCTATGCTTGATCATTAAAGATGATTCAGTCATAATGTAATAAAATCTAGTCTGATGATTAAACTTATCTGTGATAAGTGTTAACCGACAGGCAGGATCAAACCAGGAACCTAATCTCATATAATAAAACCTAACAAAACCCATGTTGTTTGAATAAAAGCTCCTTATGAACGGGGTTCTCTGCTTCTTTTCCACGTTTTTACGTTTTGCCCTCACAGATTTCGATGAGTGCCTCATAACCAAGGTTTGTGGTAACCACGTCTGTGTGAACGTGGTGGGATCTTACCGCTGCAAGTGCCGAGCCGGTTTCTCCTTCAACAATGTCACCGGACACTGTGAAGGTAGGATGAGACTGTACAGAAGTGTTTTTGGAGTTTATTCAAACTGTGATAACTAATCCATGTGTCATTCCTAAAATGTTTGGCAATGTTTAATGTCAACTTCACTGAAAAATTTTTTTTTAATGGTTATTTCTTATTAAATTTGGTCACTGAGTTTTTCATGCGGGCTGAACATGAAAGTAGTCTCCTACACCTATCTTCTGCATTAGCTTCTGAAAATAGACTGTGAAACTGTAGGGTTTGAAAATCCTGAAAAATCTATGTCACACTGTCACTTAACATTCATGGTCTCACCCATCTTGACTCACGACGCGGAAGGCTGTTGTTGGTTTAGCGTCCAGGAAACAGTAGAGACCATCTCAATTAGTGGATGCTAACCGTTAGCCTTAGCAACTTCACCAGGCGATCCTTCTGTCCAAAGCTTAGCTTTGTCACGATCTGCCCCTGCCCAACCTGACTGTGTTCCTCTCCTGCCGTGATTGCCCTTATTGTTCTCACCTGTCCCTCGTTTACCTGCCCATGTTTCCCTAATTAGCCCTCTGTATTTAAACCACCTGTTTTGCCCCTGTCCTTTGTCAGTTCATTGTGGTTGTCTGCTGGTGTTCCTGTTCATCCCATCCTGCCATTAAACCATTTTTACTTTTACTGAAGCCTGCATTTTTCCTCCGTTCAGCTCATCCACACATGGTCCATCATCTCCACCTCCTACACCGTGACAAGCTTTGATCTGGCTCATGTCTAGTTCCTGTAAAATGTGCACCAGAGCGCCCCCCCCCCCCCCCCCCCCCCATGTATTCCTATTAGAGACCACTACATATGTATTAAAAATATTAGGGATGCACAGATATGACAATTTTGTGCCGATACCGATATCCGATATTAATATCACTGTTATGGCCAATTACTGATATTTGCCAATACCAATATACTGATATCAATGCTTCTAAAAGCAGCAGATTTTGTATTGAATGAAAGTTATTAAAGCTGAATTTACGTTGTTTTGCACACACACCACACACATTTACGCTTCTGAGATAATTACGATCACTGTCACGTGACTAAACAAATACACATCACCCCCTCACGCTCTAAAATAGATAAGCATATGGAAACGAGATGGAAAAAATACCGGTTGTTAATATCAGCCCAGTTTTATTTATCGGACCAATACCGATGTGTTAAAAAATGACTAACATTGGCAGATACCGATATTGATGCTGATATGTTGATAAAATTTGAGTAAAATAAGTTGGGGCCAAAAAGCCCAAACTAAAGCAGTCAATGCTCGACTGAGACTGTTGAGGTATAAAATGTTGATGTAAACATTCACTTTGGATTAATTACACATATTTAATTATGAAATTCCAGACGTTTGCAGAAGGTGCAGGTAGGAGATGGGAACGTTCTACCTTTGAAAAGGGCAGTCCAAGGAAATCAGGATGTACTGGGAGGTGGTTAAGGGAACGGTGGAAACGAATATCGCTAAAGAAATCCCACCAGACCTTGTGCTTTGTACATTAGGCATCTACTGTAACGGTCACAGTAAAGAGTTGGTGCATGCTGCATGATAAAAGAGCGGTAGCCTCCAGCAAAGGACTGAAAGACCAGAGGTTTTCTACAGATTAGACAAATGTTTAAATTACATTCTTTTAGAGAAATTAACATTTATGATGAAAAGAAAGAAACAGGAATCCAAAAGGAACCTGTAACGGTAAAGTGTAACGATTCGTCAGAAGATGAAGAGCGAAGCTCACGTCTGAGGAAGTGTTATATTGTTATTGTTGTTGTTGTTGTTGTTGATGACTCTTTTTTGAGAAAAGTAATAAAAAATAAATGTGCTAACTACTAATATTAGACCAGTTTTTAATAAATATACCTTTAATAAATGCATCATTACCATGATTTTAGGTGTAACGTTGATTCTGTTGTCTTCTCTAGACATTAACGAGTGCAGACATCATGCGCGGCTGCTTTGTTCTCACGCGTGTGAGAACACCGAGGGCTCGTACCGATGCAGCTGCATTCCTGGCTTCACACTGGCTCACGACGGCCGAAACTGTGATGGTAAACTCTACAAAATAAAATTATGTCTGAACCTGAAGTTCTCGTGTGTAATTAAATCAATCCTCAATTTTAAACGTTTTTTTTTTCATTTCTCTTTATGTGATTAAACTTTATTCTTTAACAACAAAGACAATGTCACACCCTTGATTTCAGAGTGTTTTATGACTTAGATCTTTATGAGTTTCCACGCGTGTCTTTTTTGTGCTGCTTCTTCTCCTCCTGCACCAAATGCATCACCTCTCAGGTCGACGCCCATCTCTGACTCTTATCTCCTCAGACATTAATGAGTGCCTGGCAGGCATGCACAACTGCGGTGATGGGCAGGTTTGCGTTAATACCGAGGGCTCGTTTCACTGTCAAAGACTAGTCAGGTGTGACCCCGGATACCAGCTCACAGACAGCAACAGTTGCCAAGGTAACGTCTTTGTCCAGAAACATCAAATTCTCGTCATCAGTGGACAACTGCCTATAATTTTGGAGACCAGCTGTATAGAAATTTAGTTAAATCTCAGGGATTTGGTGCCCTTCCAGACATAGATGAGTGTGTGTTGGGGACTCATAACTGTGGAGCAAACTTTGTTTGCATCAACACACCCGGATCGTTCCACTGTAACACCGTGAGCTGTCCACGGGGTTACCATCTGTCTGCAGACGGGACGCGCTGTGAAGGTATGCCATTACACTTGTGAGGGTTTTCACTTGAAATGTTGTTTATAATCTCACAATTACAGGAATGATTTTTTCCCCCAGCTGAGCTATTTTTAAAAATATATATATTTCTGGTTTTAACATATAGGAGCCTAGTTTGACCAGTAAGTGTCGCTGTTGTGCTTCAGAAGGGTAGATAACAGCATCAGGTGACAAGTGCTTTTAAACAGAATGGTGATGAATAATGAATGATGAGCAAGAACTCTCCCAACTAAACACGACAGAATAACATGTAGAGGAGTGAGGCCGCTGTAAGTGACAGTTTAGCCAATATTCAGTCTTTAAAAGGGATTTTATGAGTTGATTAATTCCGTTTTTTAAATGTCAATGCATTCTTTCAAAACAAAGAGCTATGAAGCTATTCTGTGTTAACATTTGAGCCAAATTACTATTAAAGGAGCAATATGTAAGAATTCTACAATGAAATATCACAATTTTTAAACACTTACCTACAAAGCTGAATGGTCAAGCTTCTCCCTACCTGTCTGAGCTGCTCACCCAACAGGAGAAGGCCTAAAGGAAGACCCAGGACACGCTGGAGAGACTATGTCTCACGGCTAGTCAGGGAACGCCTTAGGATTTCCCCGGAGAAGCTGGTCCAAGTGGCTGGGGAAAGGAAAGTCTGGGCCTCCCTGCTTAGGCTGCTGCCCCGCGACCCAATCCCGAATCAGCGGCCGAAAATGGATAGATGCTTTTTTTCTCTGTGCAGCACTTTATTCTAATTATGCTAACGATGATTTAGAAACAAATAGCCTAAATATCTCAAGCTACCTTTACAATTACCAACAACTCGATGTTGAAGTGAAATGTGTGTGAAGTGAATAATGTGTCAATTGTGGTGTTTTACTTCCTTTAATGAGCTGTGCATAACTATAACAGCAAACAAATGCACTCCCTGTAATGCTGAAGAAATATTACCGTAATAAGTGTAGTGTACCGTGAAACACCCAAGAATGCTAGCACCAGATATGACAGTGTGCTTATCTACTTATGTTTATCTGGCAGACGCTTTTATCCAAAGCGACGTACAATTGATTAACCTTTAGGACATCTACTAGTCAACTTCTATGTATGACTCATCTTTCCTTGTCATCTAGAATCATTAGATGCTGATCTGTAACCGGCAATGGCCAGAGATGGGAATCGTGGCATCAACAAGTCAAATCCATGTCGTGATTTTGTTGCTGCTGCTGCTCAGCAACTGAATAAGGTTCATTCACTGTGCTGATTGAATTGACCTTGTTTAGTTGCTGACCTGAAGAAAAACACGGCATGGAGATAACTTGTTGATGCCACAATCCTCATCTCTGGTAACGGCCATGAAACTTGTGGAACGACAGTGAGATTGTGTTTGCAGTTTGGCACCTTTAAACTTGAAAAATCTAGTTTGCATGCAAAACCAGTTAAAAGACATATTATTTTTATTCTAGGATTGTTTATTTTTAATTCAGTTTTATTCGTATATAGTTCTATTTATTTATGTTTATTAAAAAACATGGCCAAAGATGGAGGTACATCCCTATGTTTCTAAAAGTAGATTTTTCTTGGTTTCATTCGTCTCACGCACTCTCGTTCTCCTCACAGATGTGGACGAGTGTCAAACAAGTGAAATGTGCGGCGGCCACGTCTGCATCAACCTGGAGGGCTCGTTCCGCTGCGAGTGCAGAACCGGCTTCATGTTCAACACCATCAGCAAGCTGTGTGAAGGTCCAGAACAGACAACAATATGACCACAGACAGACAGATGCACCTGCAGCCACTACATGTGTTTTTTTCCCGTCTCTCCCCTCCTGTCCTTGTTTTTTTTTAGATATTAATGAGTGCACACATTACCCCGGTCGGCTCTGCGCCCATAAATGTGAGAACACCGAGGGCTCGTTTCGTTGCAGCTGCTCCACCGGCTTCACACTGACTCGAGATGGCCGAGACTGTGAAGGTTAACGGCTACATTTTCCTTTAAAAAAAAGTTGAAATGTTATAATTATTTAAGTAATTGTTTGGTTTGAATTAAACACATCTTGCATTTACTGGACAGATGTTGACGAGTGTGAGAATAAACCCTGCAGCCAGGAGTGTACCAATGTCTACGGCTCATACCAGTGCTACTGTCACCGTGGTTACCAGCTGAGTGACAATGACGGGATAACATGCGAAGGTAGGTGTCAGTCATTTGATGCCAGCAAAAGGAGAGAAAGAAAACAGTTCACTTTAACTGAAACACTTGGACAATATTTATGGGATGAACATAAAAAAATCACACAGAACAACAGATAAAAATACACAAACGTGCATGATTTCTCCACATGGCAAGATTTCAGTTTAAAGCTCCAGCCTGAAGAGCAACGTTTGATACAAATGTGTGATTTCCTTCTGCTCCTGGCAGACATTAATGAGTGCGCCCTGCCTGGTGTGTGTTCCCACAACTGCATCAACACTCCTGGTGGCTTCAACTGCACCTGCCCACCTGGGGGCTACACACTCAGCCCGGATGGACGCACCTGCCAAGGTTAGAGGAAACCTAAACACATCCTAAAGCTTTCCCCAAATATATTACATTTCCCTATATATCCTTATTTATTTCTTTTAAATTAACTTTCACTAATATTTAATCTCCACTTGATCAAAACCTTTTGATTTTCCTTTTTAGCCTCGAAATGTTGATATCTCGTGTGTTTTTCTGAAACATTTCACTCATTTGTGTTTTATAGTGGTTTTTCTTTAGAAATCTACTAAAATAGTTCAGAAATTTTTAGGAAATAAAACCCATTTGGACCATAATCGATAGAAATTATGTTTTAGGGCTGGCACATGCTCAAAAATCATCCATCATTATGCTAGAAATGGTTCTGAATGTATTTTATGAGATGTCTTTTGTGTCTTTAGATGTTGACGAATGTGCAGCAGAAACTCACACCTGCTCTGCCTCTGAGATCTGCTTTAATCTCCAAGGAGGACATCGCTGCTTTAACTTTGAGTGTCCCACAAACTTCAGGCAAGCCACCAGTGGGTAAGAGCTGTCGGTGTTTTATTAAAGTTAGCTCCTTCCTGTGGTTGAGTGACAGCATGTCTGTGTGCGTAACTAACCAAGTCTTGGAGCTTGGTTCCCCCGGCGCTCGCCTGCTTCCTGCCCTGTGGCCACTTTTAACACTCAAACCAGTTTTTCCAAGCCATTTGATCCAAGCTGCTCTAAGAAGGGCCTCGTCTCAGCAAAGGGAAAAAAAGCAAGCTGCGTTATTTTTGTCCACTTGGGGACCCGCCAAGTTACAGCGGGCCAAATGAGTGGTGGAGCAGCGCTTTAGCTCTTGTGATTAATGGGGATTTTAGTATTGGTGTTGGGCGGTTATCAGTGAATTTGCTGTAAATGATACCAAGAGGCCAGTAGCCATGTCGGTCAGCTGGACAGGAGACTTTTTCCATCGTTCCACTTTCCTCTTGGTGGTTATTTTGGGGGAAGGGGCGTTTGTGCACAAAAAGCTGATTAAAAGTGCAAAAATATGAGACGTGTGACAACATAATTGCACCAGATGTTTGGATTTCTGAAATACATTTATTTCCTGTGTATAAATGTGGAAATATTCAAATATTGTTCTACATGAGATCAAGTTCCTGGATGCCTAAAAGCTGGCCGATATCTAAAGTACCCTTTCTTTCAAAAACACTTGAGATCCTTTACACTGAATCCAACCATTTTAACCTTTTTAATGATGCCATTTTAGCTGCTGGCTCTGGTGACCGTTGTCCTTGTGTTTTGTGTTTAAAAGCTGCGTTACACAAAGGCAATCACAACATTTTAATTTCTTTTTGGAGCAGTGGGTGGATCTCAGCCTCCAGGACCATCACAACAACTAATAATAATAATAACAATTGAATAGATTTATATAGCACCTTTCTAGGCACTCAAGTCATTTTCCATTATTCATGCACTCTCACATTCACACACTGCCAGTGATGGTAAGCTACAATGGAGCCACTGCCACCCTGGGGACATCCAACAGAGGCAAGGCTGCCATTTGCGCCTTTGGCCCCTCTGACCACTACCAACATAGGCTACTTGGGCAAAGTGTCTTGCCCAAGAGACATGATGGCAGAATGCCCTGGCAGGAGCTGGAATTTATCCGACAACCCTCCGATCGCTGGGCAACCTGCTGTACCTCCTTAGCTACTGCTGCCCCTTTTCCAGTAGCAACACTCTGCTGTCAGTTTAATGTAAAGCAGCAATGGAGAGCATGTTACTTGTTGTGTGTGGAATAGGGCTGCAGCTCATGATTATTTTATTGATTGATTAATCTGCCACAGTGATAGATTGATTAACAGAGCAGTACTAGTGGTGAGTAACAAGTCTTTAACCAGTATTTATTCAACATTTCTATATTATCTTTAATAATATACGCATGAAGCTGAAGATTCTGAGATATGGAAGTTGTGCTGTTGTGAATCGCTACCTTAGCACTAAGCTAGCAGCTTCGTCTGTCGGCTTGAATTTGAAATATTCCTACACTTTGGAAACTTTTTGGCATTTTCGCTGCGTGTCAACATCCCTCTGCTCCCTTCTCTGCTGACAGTATTACTGGAAGTGATAAAAAACTAATGAACCTTTTTTATAATCAATTAAATCAAATAATTTAATTGTTACTTTCAGCCCTAGTGTGGATATATCTGCTCAGTCTGTGTTTTATTTATTTTTTTGACAGACTCCTAAACAAAGACACTCAAAAAAAAATTGCAGGCAGTGAGGTGAGACACTTTGGAGAAATGCAGGAGACTGTGGGTGGCTCCATCCTCTCTCTAGTCAATCAGTGACCAACAATCGTCTGATGTCACGTTTTTGCCCTGGAACCGCATCAAAGTTGGTCCTAAAAAGGGGCGGCAACCATATACTTGTTACTAGTAGAAACACCTCAGAACCATGCTGAGCTAAGCTGAGCAGGCGATAATTGATAATAGTGACCTGCACTAGTCTCCTTTCACATTCAGAGGACTCCAAAGTGCTTTACACATGCCGGTGGTGATGAGCTACATTGTAGCCACAGCTACCCTGAGGCTGCTGCACACAGTCCCCACCTCTGGTCCTTGTTTGGTGTCCCTCAGGGATCGATCTTTGGCCCCCTTCTTCTGCAGTTGTTGTTTTAATTAATTTATCATTTAAACATTATTTTATCCACCCACCCTTCTGAGCTGCTACTGTACGCTGGGGTCAGCTGATCTGCTGCTCCAGGTGGTTCCTAGGTTAGGGGTTAGTCCCTCAGAAATCCTCTGAAAATGCTTCTCTTCTCTCCTTGGCTCACTCTGTGAGATGTCGACTCTATGTCTTGTTCTGATTTTGATTTTAACTTATATTGGAAAGCATTTTAATTGTATGCTGTTTAAAAAAACTTTATAAATAAAGTTGGATCAAATTGAATTGATTCAGACAACTGTGTGAATGAATCAGCTGTTCCTCAGTTTTCACAAGTTCCTTCATCTCCTTAGATCCACAGGAAACGCCTCGGCCGTCTTGCGTTGCGTGAAATCATGCCGTCTGCTTGACCTAGAGTGCAGTCACAACCCCACCCACATCATCACCTTCACCGTCATTTCCTTGCCAACCTCGCAACACTTAAAGGAACCTGAAGGTAAAGAGGCACGAGAAAGACTTTTTGATTTGTTTATTTTTAAAATGAGTTTGATAAAATCTTCAAACTATTACTTCCAACAGTGATTGCTTTACTGCGAACAGCCACAGCGGTTAAACCTGCTAATCTCCCAGATCAACCTGATGTCATCTTTGAGATTTTGGATTCAGACGAACAAAACTCCTTCGATGTGATAAAAGACTCTCAGGATGGTCTAATCGTCGGTGAGAGGAGCAGCCCCCTGTCTTTATCTGATTCATATGATCATTTTACGTTTACCAGCTCTGTGAATGCTCCCGTTTGATGTTTACAGGTTTGATCTGCCAGGTGAAACCGATCCTCGGACCCAAGGAGCTTATGTTGAGTGTGGTCATAAAGTACGTCCAATTGGGGGACGTTTATCAGCAAAACATCATGAACATCCACATCCTGGTGTAAATTTAGCTGAAAACATTGAATAGGACAGAAAAAAAGACTTGAAGTTTTTAAAATCGAGATTTAAATGTTTCTTATACAGTTAATAATGTGGTTGGCAACCAATCCAGGTTTTAAAATTACAACAGCTCCATTTATTTGTGTAGAAACAACATTTTCAGCCTCTGTGAGGCTGTAGTTTTACATGTTCTTAGCATAATGCTGCTGTCAGCAGGCTAACGTTAACAATGTACACATGAAAAATGCTTTTATTAATTTCTAAGAGGAAAAATGCTTCTTAATAGTCACATGAAATTAATTGTGTCCTAATTTTAATCACTTGATCTTGTAACATAACCCAGCATAAATGACACATTTTTACTTTGCAAAATCATTTCAATGGGCAAATTTATTTAGTTTCTCTTTATTTTTTGGCAAAATTAGAAAAATATGAAATTAGATTTCATATTAAATACACAGTTTCAATATTTTCTTGTTTCTTTCCAGTCTGGGTTTTTTTCTCTCTTTTTTTTGGCTGAAATTGGAAATTAACATCCACAAACCTTCAGAGTACTGTTGATTATATTTAAATGTTTTAGAGTAATGCGCTAAATAATAGTAGATATATTTATGTTCTTTAAGCTTTGATATAAATGTTTTTGACAAGAATTTGATTTTTATAAACTTTTATCGGGGTAGTTTTTGGTTCTGCAAAGAAAAAATATTTTTAGATTATTTTGTCTTTGACTTTTCTTATAAAATACTTTATAGTAAAAAGGATCAATAAAATGATAGATTGTTGACAAAAACTGCAAACTTTGAAACAACAAAAGGAGAAAAAAAATCCAACATTAATGACAGCGAATCCTCAGGTCCAAATTTTAACAACACATTTATATTGTGAAGCTATAAATATGGGGTCATAATTAACACAAGATTACTTATTGATTGTGTTCCTTAACTTTAATTCTCTGGTTAATCTGTAAAATGTATTTTTATTTGTTATATGTTTTGACAGAATAAAACACAAAATGATGTTTGTGTCTCCTCATTGGATGTATTTATTTTTGCCAGACTCCTCGGCCATCTGTGAATAATAAAATCTTTGACTGATGGATCGTGTTCATGAGTTTTTGTCTGAATGCAGCTCGACCGTCTGCCCCAGCCCACTAAACAGCCATCTGTAAGTTAGCATGAGGTTTTCCAAAGTATCTCTGGGATGTGCTGTTTTTCCTGTAATCCATCCACTCAGATTCCACCATCACACTGGGCTGTAGCACTTCCAGTTTTTCAGGGTGTTTCCAGTTATTTCCACACAATGAGTGAATAACTGGGTTTTTTATGATGGGAATGTTTGTGTCTCCAAATGCCTCATCGAAACATGGAGCTTCCTCCTAACCACCGTGGAGCTCTTCCTGGCCAATGGAAACACAACAAAACCATGTGGAGCTCCAGCCTGAAGTATGACACATTTTATGGAAATCGTAAGTGCCTGTCATGTGGTTTTGTTGCTGCGGATGTAACAATCTTCGCACCACTGGCTCAGAATCATTTTGGTGTATAAAGTGGCCGACCCGTAATCGGAAGGTTGCAGGTTCGAGCCCCGCTCAGTCTGTCACTGTGGTTGTGTCCTTGGGCAAGACACTTAACCCACGTTGCCTGCTGGTGGTGGTCGGAGAGACCGGTGGCGCCAGTGCTTGGCAGCCTCACCTCTGTCAATGCACCCCAGGGCAGCTGTGGCTACATCATGGCTCATCCCCACCAGTGTGTGAATGTGTGTGTGAATGGGTGAATGACTGATTGTGTTGTAAAGTGCCTTGGGGGGTTCCAGGACTCTAAAAGGCGCTAATACAGGGCATTTACCATAAAGTGAAATAAATAGGTATGCATTGGTGTTGAATGATAAATGAGTGGATGACTGTGTTGTGAAGCACCTTGGGGGGTGTTGAACCCTAAACATTTCTATACAAACAGGACATTTCATGTACTAACTCTTTATACAAATAACAATATCAAAATTGTGTTTTGTCCATAACTAAGCAATATTCTCTGATCCTGTCACCCCATCTACATTAGCCGACAGTGGCTTCATTCATTCCTTTTTCTATTTGTGCTTTACACATTTATTCTGTAGTCGTTTTACCTTCAAAGACCGACTGTTGCGGTTGTGTAGTTTGCCATTCATGTTTTTAATTCCCAGTGAACACTCTGCCATCTAAGTTATTTATCCACAAAGGTCCCCTGACTCTGAAATGTTCTGTTCAAGTGCAAGTCACTTATCATTTATCATCACATTTTCATAATTTAATTTATATCAAAATTTGTACGTAAGCAGCATTTTTTATGTTCTTTATGTTTTCTTTTATTTTACTCTTTCTTCTCATTATTTACTCTCCATTTTTCTCCTATAATGAATGTAATTGCTGCTGTAACACCAGAATTTCCCCACTAAAGGACAATAACTATATTCTATTCTATTCTATTCTATTCTAGTCTATTCTATTCTATTCTAAATAAATACACTAAGATGGATAGTTTAAATAAAGTCATGTGTACAGATATTTTCAACATCACAGTCAAGGCTAGAAAGTTTTTGTTATCAAACCAAACCAATGGGCTGTGCACAACGGCAGCACGTGCCTTGACTCCGCCTTCACTCTGAATTGAACCAATAACTTTTGAGGGACTGGTTCGGTGTTCTGTCAAAATAAAGCACCCATTTCATTAAAAAATATTTCATGAAAACGCAACCCCATCATGCGACGCCCAATTTTTATGCCTTGATATTTCTGACCAGAAACGAGTACCAGGCATGAAAATGATTTGTTGCTAAATAAAACCCTGAAAGCACTCCACACGATTTGGGTTACCTTATGACCAAGTTACTTTTTCTAGCACAACACCGGACGTCCCGCCTCCAATAGGATTGATACATTTAAGATGGCCGCTTCCACCGGTAATACTTTGAAGATGTCAGCTTCTCTCGCTGAGATTTTAAACGATACAATCCGTCCGGAACATTTACAGCTGTTAAAAACATTCACAAATGCGCTGTGGGAGGCGGAATTCAGGTATGGTGTGGGTCACAGGACGCTTCTTAGATTCTAAATTAACCGTTAGCTTAGCGGGTGAGCTAACCGTTAACGTGCCGTAGGGCTACCTCAGCTGTGCCACTGATGTCTGAGTTCTTGGATCTTACATACGCAACCCTGAAGTCATAAAAGTATGGAAGAATATAGTACAGGTTTGGCTAAGTATGGACAAAGGAAAACTAAATGGTACATAAGGTTTTTTAATCCTTGTGTGTGTGTGTGTATATATATATATATATATATATATATATATATATATATATATATATATATATATATATATATATATATATTAGGTCTGTCAGTCGATTAAGAAATTAACTAATTAATCGCACAATTTTCTGTAATTAATTGTGATTAATCACAATTTATCTGATCATTAGCCTGGCTTCTCTTACACTTTTTTCCTACTTTATATTTCTCAATGAAAAAATAAGTTGTCACACTCCATGGAAACTTTCAGAGAATACACAAATAGTGGCTTTCAAATGGTTTTGTTACTTTTTGTAAGTTTAGAAAAGAAGCAGACGAGAGCATGTCTAAGTCTGTTTTTCATCTGATAATATTAGAACATGTCAGTAATGTCTGAGGGGCTTTTACAAACACTGTATAACTAATACTCCTGGACAGGGTATGAATTACACAGAGGCTTCTGGGGAGCCCAGTTATAGGGGTGGGGGTGTTCTGTATTGCCTTGGCCCCAGAATGCCTTGAAACGACTCTGAGTGTGTGACAGAGTTTTGAAGGTGATCTGAATTGTATCAAATGTATAAATATTACATGTGTATAACTTATTGTTTTATACAGGTAAAAATGTGTAGTGGAGATAAATCCCTCTGATCTCTGCCATGAATTTCTCCAGCCTTATGGACACCTTTGGCTTTACCCAGCATGTTTCTGGCCCCACACACACCAGGGGGCACACTCTAGACCTTGTTTTTACCCTGAGTCTAAATGCTGACAGTGTTTGTCCTGAGGACGTTTATATTTCAGATCACCATTGCATTTTCTTTAACTTGTCAGTTTCTGCGTCCCCACCTCCTGCTCGCCTTATGGTTAGTTCTCGTTATCTTAATGAGAGCACAGCTAGCAATTTTTCTGCTGCTTTTTATCCACCCTGTTCTTCTGATAACGACCCAGATTCCTTAACTTCTCAGTTTAACGAGCACTGCCTCTCCATTCTGGACAATATCTGTCCTGTCAGAACCAGATCAGTTCCTGCAGTGAACCCTACTCCCTGGTTTAATGACAGCCTACACAGCCTGAAGCGCCAATGCAGAAAAATTGAGCGTTTGTGGAAGAAAACCCATCTCTACGTCCATCTGCTGCACCTAAAGGATCTTCTGACATCCTTTAACTCTGCAGTCAGAGACGCTAGGGTTTCCTATTTCTCCAACCTGGTGTCCCAGAGCAAAGGGAACCCCAAAGTGCTGTTTAACACCATCAGCAGCATCGTCTCTCCTGCCTCTCCTACAGCCTCCATCCACTCTGTTGCAGACTGTGAGAACTTTGTCTTTCTTTGTGGACAAAGTCAATAAGGTTAGATCTAGCATCTCTCCTTCAGCCTTATCGCCGCCTCTCCCAACTCCAACCAGGCCCGTCATCCTAGATAGCTTTGCTCCTGTTTCTTTGCCTGAGTTAACCAAACTAGTTAACTCTATGAAGACCTCTGCATGCCCCCTCGACATCTTACCCTCATCTTTGTTTAAAAGTGCTTTTCAGTCCATCATTCCCAGCGTGCTCTCTATAATTAATGCTTCTCTGGTTTCTGGTCAGGTCCCTGCTTACTTTAAGAACGCTGTAATCCACCCGCTTCTTAAAAAACCGAGTCTCGACCCCTCTCTCCATAGCAGCTTCAGACCCATCTCTAAACTTCTGTTCATCTCCAAGATATTGGAAAAGGTTGTGGCTAAACAACTCACAGCTGCTCTTGATGAACAGAACATCTATGATAGCTTCCAGTCAGGTTTTCGTAGAGCTCATTTTACTGAAACAGCTCTTCTTAGGGTCTCTAATGACCTTCTGACTCACAGTGATGCAGGAGACCGTTCTGTTCTGGTCCTGCTGGACCTGACTGCAGCCTTTGACACTGTTGACCATCACCTGCTACTGGAGAGGCTGAGAGACTGGGTAGGCCTATCAGGATCTGCTCTGGAGTGTTTCTCCTCTTATCTCTCTGAGCGCTCCTTTTCTGTGGCCGTATCCAAGTTTAGGTCCTCCACCACCTCTCTTACCCATGGTGTCCCACAAGGTTCTGTGCTGGGGCCTCTGCTCTTCCTCCTCTATCTGCTTCTTCAGCACATCCTGAGCTCCTTCAAAGGAATCTCTTACCATCTTTATGCAGATGACATACAACTGTACATCTCCTTTAAGCCCCATGAGATGTCTAAGCTGCAGCTGTTACACACCTGCTTAGACTATCAAAACCTGTATGGCTGGGAGCTTTCTTCAGCTGAATGAAGATAAGACTGAGATCCTCATCTGTGCCCCAGAAAAGCTGGTTCCCAAAGTCAGAGACTCTCTTGGTCAGCTTGCTTCTCACACCAAACCTTCCATTAGGAATCTTGGCATGACCTTTGACCCAGCTCTCACCCTGGATTCTCATGTCAGTTCTCTTGTTCGCTCTTCCTTCTTCCATCTCAGGAACATTGCTAAGCTGAGTCCCATTCTGTCCCACTCTGAACTTGAGACAGTTATCCACACCAAATCTTATTGTGCATGTGGGAATTGTTGCCTGTTTGCTACTTTTATCTATTTTGTGTGACATAGACACATTTTTTTTCTGTGTTTGATGTCCTCACGCTTAGACTACTGTAACTCTCTTTTCACGTGTCTGAGCAGAACCTCCCTGAACCGTCTACAGGTGGTTCAGAATGCCTGTGCTCGGCTTCTGACCAAGTCCTCCAAACACACCCACATCACCCCGCTTCTCCTCCAGCTTCTCTGGCTGCCAGTCAACTTCAGGGTTCATTTCAAGATCCTGGTTCTGGTCTATAGGGCCTTACATGGACAAGCACCATCTTACATTGGTGATCTTCTTAGTCCCTACACCCCCAGCAGGTCCCTGAGGTCTAGTGATCAAAGCCTAGTGGTTGTGCAGCACCAGGCTAAAGACCAAAGGTGACAGATCATCTGCTGCTGTGGCCCCCAGACTCTGGAACTCTCTCCCCCTGAGCCTGAGATCAGTGGACTCAGTGGTCTCCTCCAAAAAGCAGCTGAAGACTCACTTGTTCAAGCTGGCTTTTGTATGATCTTCTTCACCACTCTCTCTTTATTCTGCTCTCCCCACCTATTCCACCTTCCTCAGGATTCACTGATTTCCTCCTATTCACTCTCTCTCTTTCTTAACATTTTTTCTTTTAAATCGCAATTGCTCATTTTTGCTCATTTTACATATATTTTTAAACATTTTCTAAATGCTTTTTTATATTTTTACATTTTTATTTTTTTATTTTTTGTTTTTGTTTTTGTGAAGCGCCTCGTGATTTTTATCTTGAGAGGCGCTATAGAATTGATATTTTCTTCTTCTTCTTCTTCTTCTTCTTCTACCTACATTTTACACACTTTTACACTTTTTTGTTTTCTTGTTTTTATTTAAGTATTTTCCTGTCCTGTCTGTCTCTCATCTTCCTGCATCTCCTCTAAAGTCTCCAGAAAAACTGTTGCCTGGATTCTTACTTTTTCACCTCATCATTTACTTTTGAGCAGATCAAAGGGATCTTCTGACCGCAAAGCGGAGTGCGCGTTTCGATGCTGCGTCAGTGAGGTGAACTCACCGCAGCACAGGTGATGAGCTCCGCAGTAGCAGAGCGCTTCAGGCACAAATAAGACATAAAGTAGAGAACATGTGAGGACATGAACGATCGTGGGTTGATTATAGTTTTTTGGTTGAGCCACTTTGAGAATGGACCGTGCGCTGGACGCAGCTGCCTGGAGCGCACCAATGATGTGACCTGAGAGTGAGAATGATCTCTCACAAGGCACTGTGGTTGCAGGGGTTGACAGGTACTTGCATGCAACAGGTGCCAGTCTAGAATGTGCTAATTCTCTCTTTAACCACCACTGTAATGGACAATGTCCAATATCCATTTTGGGCTCTGCTTTGTACCGATCTAGACAGCGCTTCATGGACAGCATTGTCCATAGCAAGCTTTTCCTCTCCTTCTCTTTTTCTGCTTCTGCTGCTTCTTATCATTTCCAGCGGGTTACACACCAGCATAGCACAATGCTGCCCCCTCCTTCAGAGCCGCTCACGAGTTTGAGGTGTCGGATTACATAAAATTTTAAAAACTGCATTAATTACATTAATTTTTTAAATGCATTAAACATTTCACATTAATTAACTAAGTTAATGTGTTATTTTTCACAGCACTAATATATAAATATAAGCAGTAATTCACAACTCACTATTTGTGAGCTTTTGTGGATCTGCAGATCAGAATAGGTAACTGAAATTAGAATGGTCTTTAGCCATAGCTTATTCTTGTTTAACTCTATGTTGCCACATATCAGCTAGACAACGTTGTTGGCATTGTAAGTTGCTGTGACTTGCAGATGCACCATAATTTGTCTCAGTTTTTCTTGGCTTTTTAACTTTGAGCAGCGGTGTTTCAACCTTCATACGGGTTAAAATTACCCAAGTGGAAAATGCCCCTAAACCCCTTGACCTACAGTATATGCCCCTCTACACATTTTCTCTTTTTACATTTTTGATCAGAAGCATCTGTATGAAATCTAGAGGTTTAATTACTTATTTATTTTAATGTTTTAAGGGATGCTGTGGAGGAGGAGGCATTTCTCCTGCTTTTGAAAGTTCTCACCAGGTTGTGTGAAGACCTGCACAATGCTAACAGCAAAGGTGACGACCTGCAAGCTTTTTCCTTACTCCTCCAGATGACTGCCGAGTGCTTCCGATCGCAGAGGAACTCGTGTGTTGAGAGCAAACGCAACCAAAACCTGCTCAGGTAATCTTTAGAAAATGTCTGCTGCTACATACTCACTCTTTTCTTCCAGCTCTTGGAGAGTACAGATGCTTTTTTCCTCCTCTCCTCCCTATCTTATCCCAAGGCTCTTTGTCTGTCTCTGGGTGTACGGCTGCTTCTGCATTTTTACTGGAAACTGAAATTACTAAAATGGACCTGGTCAGTTGATCACTTAATGCGATTGATACAATTTTTTCAACGATGAGAACGGGAGAAGGGGCTCTCGGGTGTCCCTCTGGGACAGAGCCAGTTGGGCATATCATGGACTCCTGGAAACAGTGGAACCTCATTTGCCTATCTCAGCTGTCTGTAGGGGATTCCGAAGACGTCTGGATATTTGTGGTGTTGGTGTCAGGTTTCCTGCTCTTTGGCCTAGGAGGCTTCCTGGCTTACTGGAAAATTAACGAGCTGTCGACAGGGGTGGACCTTTAAAGCGCCCGAGCGCCAATGGCACTAAATTTTCTCGTCGGGCGGTAAATACTTGACGACTCACTACCCGGGTGGCGCCCAAGCCTTATTTGTCATTTACATACCGGCTTTCACCTACATCATGGCCGCGCCCTGTAGGAAGCCGCCGTTTTCATTTCGCGCGCGTGAACCTGCGCGCCTCTAGCCACGTACTGCACGTACTGCACTTGTACGATTCGTGCACGTACTGCACGATTCTAGTTATAGTCACGTGAACTATAAGTTCACTATTAAAGACGAAGTGGAACCACGCTAGAAGCACACAAGCACGCAGGGAGATGGCGTCGCCACAGGGATGGGATTTCTTGGTGAAATCTCCGGCAAAACACTCTAAAACTGGTGAGGAGAAGTGAGACAGTTCAAAACGGTATGAAGCAGAGAAGCGTGTGCGTAGGTGGAATGATTCTTGGCAGTTTAAAGAAGACTGGAGGCACAGAGAATGGCCGTGTTCGAGTTGAGCAGCGGCTCGCCTGGAAAACAGACGGAAGCAGCAGGGGGAGGGGCTGAAAGCCGGGTCGGACCTGGCCCGCAGCGGGGCTCAGCAGCCTCCAGAAGCTGATGGCAGTGTGGGTTTAAGTCCATGCGGGGTGGGAGTGGCTGAAAGCCGGCGTTTAAGTTGGACAGATTTCCCTACATGTGTAGCTCGGGGGTGATGATGGCTGAAGATATCGCGTGAGCGTTCACACTTGTTCAATTTTCAATTTTAATTCTGGTGCTTGTTAGCAGCTGAAACACATCCTCACGTGCTTGTGGATATCATATATTGTATATGAAGACATGACTGCAATAAGTAAAGGTTATCAGCTGCAGTTTTAGTGTGCTCATAGGAAACGTGACAAAAGAAAACAAAACACATTTCTCTTTATGGCCTATATAGTTTTCATCATCAACTTAACATGATTTACAGAATACATGTGACCAACTAACATTTCATGTTCTACCACCGGATGTTTGGATCAAAATATGAACCAATCAGATCTTAGATCAGGTGAGAGCCAGGCATTTCCCGTCATCCCCTAGGTTTTGCAGCCGAGGGAGAGCAACTGCAGCGCCTTGCTCCAAAATCTGCGGCCGCCTTGATCTCACAAGGTTATCGTTGCCTACGCATGCATGACGTCAGAGCAAGTCGGCGTCAAGTCGGACACAAATCTAACCGGCATGCACTGCTCGCCGATCACCGTTGGTCTAATCTGCGCAGAACTGGCTCATCTAGAACACAGCCAATGGTTCGAGTACAGCAAAGCGGAGTTGGTGATGTACTGCGTTGTATGCCGGAAGTATGCGACGACAAAATCGAGTTGTTGAGGGAACAAACAAATTCAAACTTGAATACGTTATTATGTTTGTGAATGTGTACAAAATGAAGGTTTATTACATTTAAAATGGTTCAGTTGTTATTTTGACTCGTTTTGGCAGCTGACCAGCGGGGCCGGTAGATTCTTGGCGGGGCCGGTAAATATTCAGAGTTACCGGCCTGGCTGGCCGGTTAGTTTTGAAGTTAATGTCCACCCCTCTGTCAAGAAATATTGGCGCTCTCCCCGAGCTCAGGGATGGATTACACCGCGCTGTGAATTCACAGACTCATATTATTGTCGAGATGAGTCTAAAGCTTGGAACTTTGGCTGAGATTCATGCATTGGCACAAAAGATGGATGCAATCAAGGATCGAGTGGACGAATCAGCATGGATTGGGATAGATTAATTTACGCCATTATTGGATTTTGAGAGGTTGAGGACCAGCTGAACCTTAAGACAGAGAAGAAATTATTTCTGTCTGGCCCCCAAACAATTTCTTATCTGAATCTAGTGCCCTTGAGCCTGTGAGGCTGCAACGAATAATCCCCCCTCAGAAGAAATGTGGAATGCTGCCGTCACTATGGCATCTGTCTCCTATCCCAGCCTGGGTGGGACTGCGGGCTGTGAAAGCTGCCAAATCGTTCCAGGAGTCACTGTGCCCTCCAAATCCCAACGACCTCCCTCCCCTGTCCAGACTGAGATGATGTGTGCTGCTTATCATGGCTGCAGGCACTGAAGTGTGGAGAGTCCCAAACCCACCACCCCACCTAGTGGACAGTTATGTTGTCTTATGTCTGAAGTCTGTTGCATCTCTGTCTGAGGTGGTTTTTTTTTTGCATAGCAAAGCTGCCCTCCCTCTGGAGGGTAACTCTGAAGTGCCTTTTTTTTCCCTCCACCTGAACCAATCCTCATGTAACCCTCTGATCTTTATTAAGGTAGCGCGACTCAGGGTTGCGAATGACCACAGTCACCAATTGTTGTCATGTGTCTTTGGCTATGTATGTCTGATCTCTGAATTGTGTGTACTAAAACTCTGATTTCCCTCTGGGATTAATAAAGTATATTTGAATTGAATTGTGATAATAATGTAAACTTTACTTTCTTTATTTCATTTTTTTTTATATTTCATTTATTTACCAAATGCGTTCAGGGTAATTGTTCACTTTTGTTTAGTTCTACAGACTGTGGTTCATTGAAAAAAAAAGCATTTTTAATCAATCAATCAATCAATCAATCAATCAATCAATCAATCAATCAATCAATCAAAGCTTTATTTATAAAGCGCCTTCCGCAACCCTGTCAGGAAGCCCAAAGCGCTAATGACTATTTCTGATAATTGTACATTAACAAGAAAACCCTGTGTTACCTCATTTTCAGGGAACTAGGTTTCATCGATGTTTCTCTTAAACTTCTGAGTTACCTTCAGACAGAAGACATTGGAAACAAAGATTCCACTCATGAACGTGAGTTTAAATTTAAGCAGCTGATTAAACGAATGCATTTTAGTGACAAAACCGTCTTTATTCCATCCATCTAAATGTTTATCTTCTATGGTTCAGCTCTTCGATGTGGAATCCAGTTCCTTGGGAACTTGGCTGTTGGAAACCAGATGAGTAAAGATGAAATTTGGCAACTGAGCTTCCCTGATCTCCTCCTGTAAGTGTCGTGTGTCTTCGTCGCAGCAGTAGGAGACATTTCATGGTGACCTACAGTGGGGCAAAAAAGTATTTAGTCAGCCACCGATTGTGCAAGTTCTCCCACTTAAAATGATGACAGAGGTCAGCAATTTTCATCATAGGTACACTTCAACTGTGAGAGACAGAATGTGAAAAAAAATCCATGAATTCACATGGCAGGATTTTTAAAGAATTTATTTGTAAATCAGGGTGGACAATAAGTATTTGGTCAAGACCCAGCCACATTTCATCTTCAAAGCTCTCACTGATGGAAGGAGGTTTTGGCTCAGAATCTCATGATACATGGCCCCATTCATTCTGTCCTTAACACGGATCAGTCGTCCTGTCCCCTTAGCAGAAAAACAGCCCCAAAGCATGATGTTCCCACCCCCATGCTTCACAGTAGGTATGGTGTTCTTGGGATGCAACTCAGTATTCTTCTTCCTCCAAACACGACGAGTTGAGTTTATACCAAAAAGTTCTACTTTGGTTTCATCTGACCACATGACATTCTCCCAATCCTCTGCTGTATCATCCATGTGCTCTCTGGCAAACTTCAGACGTGCCTGGACATGCACTGGCTTCAGCAGCGGAACACGTCTGGCACTGCAGGATTTGATTAACTGCCGTTGTAGTGTGTTACTGATGGTGACCTTTGTTACTGTGGTCCTAGCTCTCTGCAGGTCATTCACCAGGTCCCCCCGTGTGGTTCTGGGATTCTTGCTCACCATTCTCATGATCATTTTGACCCCACGGGATGAGATCTTGCGTGGAGCCCCAGATCGAGGGAGATTATCAGTGGTCTTGTATGTCTTCTATTTTCTGATAATTGCTCCCACAGTTGATTATTTCACACCAAGCTGCTTGCCTATTGTAGATTCACTCTTCCCAGTCTGGTGCAGGTCTACAATTCTTTTCCTGGTGTCCTTCGAAAGCTCTTTGGTCTTGGCCATAATGGAGTTTGGAGTCTGACTGTTTGAGGCTGTGGACAGGTGTCTTTTATACAGATAATGAGTTCAAACAGGTGCCATTAATACAGGTAATGAGTGGAGGACAGAAAAGCTTTTTAAAGAAGACGTTACAGGTCTGTGAGAGCCACATATTTTCCTTGTTTGAAGTGACCAAATACTTATTTTCCACCCTGATTTACAAATAAATTCTTTAAAAATCCTGCCATGTGAATTCATGGATTTTTTTTCACATTCTGTCTCTCACAGTTGAAGTGTACCTATGATGTAAATTACTGACCTCTGTCATCATTTTAAGTGGGAGAACTTGCACAATCGGTGGCTGACTAAATACTTTTTTGCCCCACTGTACTTATTGACTGTATGAATCCAAGCATCCTTCCTTGAACGGAGCAAACTTATATGTGTGAACAGGCAGCTGCTCAGTGCCGATGATGAGAAAGTGGTCTCCTACGCCTCCATGGTTCTCCACACGTGTCTGGATGAAGCCAAGGTGGAGAATCTGTCCCAGCCTCAGAACATCAAGCTGGCTCTCAGGGTGATGGAGCTGTGTCAGACCCAGCCGGACCTGGACTGGACGTAGGTGTTTGTTTCTGATGGTTTGTCTTTGAGGAAAGGCTCTTTTAGATTTTGATGCCATCAAAGTGTGTATTAAAACAATAATTAAAACTATTTTTGTATTTAAATGGGAAGGACAGAAAAAAAGCTTTTAATGTTCAGTCCAAATGTGCATTTTAAAGAAAAAATAAAGCATAAAAATAAAATAACAGTTTGGGAATTTATGATACAAATTTGGAGCATTTGGTGAAAAAAGTTGGTCTAAAAGTTGGCAGATGAGTTTGCTTGTGCAGGCAGAGGTGTATGTTTTCAGTAGTTGAGTGCAGACTGTGTTCTTGAATCTGTAGTTTATTTCCTTTTCTGATTGATAAAAAATTTGTTAAATCATTAAAAAACTCTAAATGTATCAAATACATGTTCAAAAAAAGCAGGCAAAAGTTGTTATTTAGGATTTTTTTAGAATCAGAATCAGAAAAGGTTTATTGCCATTGTTAGTGAACAAACAATTCACAAACTAGGACCTTGCTTTGGTACTAATGTGCTACATATAACATGAACACACAATAAGAATAAAAATAGAATCAAACTTTCAGCTATAAAAATGGCAGGTACAAGACGATTCTTATATTAATTTCAGAAAGTCTCGTCTTTGTGGCTGGAAGATGGTACCATTCATATGCTTAAATAAAAAGTACTGTAACTATAGAATACACTGTGTATGAATACATTTATCAAGTAACTCTACAGGAAAAGGTCTGTTTTATAGGACAGAGCTTCCTGTTCTGGTGCTGAACCGACTCGACTGCTGTGCAGCATTCTGAAGGAACAAATGTCTCTCCATGAGTTTTAAAATCTTGACATTTTATCTTTAAAAGAAGATTAGCTGTTGCAAAGTTGTGAAATGTCTTTGTTTTATTTTGAATATCTCCTATTTAAAATGATCAATAATTAATGTAGATTTTTTTTGTTTTCATTGGAAGTGGATTGTTCAGCTATTTTGAAATGAAACCAGCCTTAGTCAATGGCTTCCTCCATCCAAATGGTATTTTACACACCTTTATGCAGCCATGAATGCAGCATTACATGGTTATTAGATTATTTCCTGTTGAACTTGGTGTCCGTGTTTCTGCTGCTCCTTGTGATGTTTACACTGGTAAATAAACACAGAATTCCATACAAAAACAACATCACATTCCCAGAAATTGGGACATTCCTTGTGTTTCCTAGTCATGCTTTTGCCTCTGCAACAAACCTATTATCAATGAACTTTTAGGAACTCGCGAGCCGACATTTTTATACAGTTTATTGGTAATTTGGATCCAGTGCTGTTTAATCTTGCATCATCGTCTCTGTCAAGAAAACACTGTTGGGTGATTTCGTATTTCTACATGGAGATGATTCATTCGGTGTTGGCCTGTTTACAGAGTGCTCATTGCAACCCAGCATTTTCTCAAGTCTTCAGCTCTGGTGGAAAGCATGTATTCTGGGATGGCCCATCATGAAAGGTGATTTCCTTTTCCTTTAACTGAATCAGATTCAAAAAGATGACCAATTGATATTTGATGTCATAATAAAAACTTATAATTTTTTTATTTAACTTTAATTTAACTTGCTTTTAGTGGCTTTGACATGGTTTTTACTTTATTGTCCGCTAAGTGAATGCATTAATACCTGTTAAATGTCTTTGGTACGTTCTTTCTGTTTGGCTTCAAATTCCATTTTTGGTTGTTTTTAAAACACAGGAAAGGTTTATCTTTACCTCTCTGACAGTTTTGTTTTGTAGTCGGCAAACAAGACTCTCAGCAAGGTAAAGAGAAACCTTTCCTGTGTTTTAAAAACAACCAAAAATGGAACCTGTTAAATGTGTTTTCCAGAGTTACCCTGTTGGAGCTGCTCTTCGCCCAGCTAAGAGACGAGGACTCTGAGGGCTGCGGCGTTCCTCCCAGCGTGGCTCGTTTCCTGGCCAGTTCCTTTCAGAATGGATGTGGAGCTGTTTTAATGCTAGCTACAGGCTCTGCTTCCAGTGACGAGGTATAGATACAGATCAAACCTGACTGCTGCATTTGCTGCAGGGCTTCAACGTCCTGTATGTTTTGTAGCCCAAACTCTCTTTGCCTGTTAGATGATCGAGTTGATTGGCTAAGAAATGTTTGAGGCTGTTTCTTTTGGGTTGTAATCCCCTGCAGGTCCTGCAGGAGGCGCTGACGGTGATAAGTCTACTAGATGTGCTGTGTGAGATGACCTCAGACAACAAGCAGTTCATGTTCCTGCAGGATCTGCCGGACCTTTTAGACAGCACAGTCGGTAAATCAGATCATCATAACCACAGCGCACCGGTGGTTTGATGCAGTCAATAATATTTCCTCCTACTTCTTCTTCTTCTCCTTTTTCTGGTTTTTCTTCTCTTTGCAGAGCTGCTGGTGCAGGTGCACGCTCTAGGGAAAGCCAGTAAGAATATTTTCAGTGCGACCCAGAACTTCTCCTCCCTGACTAAAGATGGAGACCCTTCTTCCTGCTCTCCTGTGATCAGCTTTAAGGCCCACCTCATCAGGCTCATAGGGAACCTCTGTCACAGCAACACCAACAACCAGAATAAGGTCTGGGTCATCTCACGTGGTTCTGGATGCTGCGTTAGAACATACTGATAAATGTGTTTTCTTGTACTCTTCATCAGATCTTTCCTCTGAGTTTACTGGTGACGTTTTTGATGCATTGAATGTGAAGTGCTTTGAGCAAGGGGAAAGAGTTCTGCTGAATCTTGTTTCTCCATCATGGCTAGCTCAGAAGTGTCTTTATTTGGTGATGGGTATAAGACAGTGGGTGCAGAAAATAACCGGTGATTGAGTGGACCAGTTAGTTTTGTTCTGACATCATCTCATGGCGGGGCTGCATGGTGGTGAAGTGGTTAGCACTGTTTGCTGCTGTTTGGATCGCTGGCTGTAATGCACATAACACACAAGCTTGCAATATAAAGCAGGACAACGCCTGTCCCCCTCCAGCTCGGCACTAACCTGTTCTTTGTGACCCTCACCATGTGACCCTCATGTCCACTAAACTGCTGTTTTGACAAGTTATCAGATTGTCTAAAAATAGGTCGTTTTTTAGTTTGGTATAACTCCGCTTTTACGTTGCCTATTAACACAGTTTAAAAACTGGGGTGTAGTTTATAATCTCCTTTTTAAAGCTGAATTGAAACCGAAACTCAGGGAGGCGGAGTCTTGCTGCTACAGTGTCCCAAATCAGACCTGATCTAAAGACGCGGATACGCGTCCATGGACCCCAGAGGGTTAATAAAACACAATTCAAATCACACTATTTTCTTAGGCCTATTAATAACACACGTATGATTTTGTTCATGTGGAAAGTTTATGTGGTTAAATCCACCAACTACCGGTAAACACATTCTGAACTTCAGCACAGCGCATCAGCGCTTGAAGCGGCGCTGCGAGCAGCTGCAACCCAAAATGTATCAGAACCGCTCACGGCGCATGCGAAATCATGCATCAATACTGCTCGCCCGCTATTTCCCTAATAACACACGCTGTTCGTTTTTATTCCTACACGGTTTTTTACTCACAAAGATTGTCAAGAAAGCGTGCTTGTCGTGTTCATGTCAAATTAAACAATCACAAAACAGATTTACTTTTTTTATTTCGTTTTCCTCATCCAACCCCCATAAATCCCTGTGTGTCCTCCTGCAGCACTCCCGGTGTACGCCCGGCTTTAGTAGGAGGGAGACCCGCGATTATCGCTTTGTCGTGCATGTCTCATTGAAAATGAATGGAGGAGAGGCGAAGTTGCCTCCCGTGCGTCGAGCCCAGTAGAAGAGCACGAGCCGTCAGCGCACGCAATGAGGAAGTGCACGTGCGCTCTAAACCAGGTCTGATCCAGGACTAGACCAGTAAAGTGAAGCATATTTTTGGCTGTTTATAATTTTCACAATGTCTGGTTTGCACTGATATGTTCCGAGTCCTGAGCCCGCACAGATGTTTTACCGGTACCTTTTACCGTGCCGCGCCCACGCCCTATAACCCGCTGCGCCTTTTGTATGTGTTAAATACCAAAAAGACACCGGTAACTGAAGCTGCGCCCTAGAACACGGTGCGCCCTATGGTCGTGAAAATACGGTATTTGATTATTTTCCTCAGCTCTATCCTAAACCTCCCGGTCGGCCGTCAGGGGTGGGGGTGGGGGGTGCACACGGGGTTTGGGGGCCACAAGGAGAGAGCTCGCAGGGCGGATGTGGCCCGCGGGCCGCCATTTGTGGACCACTGTTGTAGAGTGTGTCAGTAAAACTGTCTGAAGTTCAACTCAAAGCAGAGTCCGTGTGTGAGGCTGCCTCTGTCACAACTTCATCACAAATGTAGTAGTTTGTATAAAGTTTCACAGTATTATTTTCACAAGTAAAGACAGATAGCTTTATAAACTTTCAGCTAAAGCTTTCACGTTAATCTCAGTGATTGTTTAAAAACTTGACCAATTTCATATTTGACACCACTCTGCACCCCTCTTCTGAACAAAAAACACACTTGATAGTTTTGTGGAGTGGGTAAATGTTCTAGGGGGCACTCTGCCTGCTTTTCTGTTGGCTGTGTGTAGGTTGTAATGCTAGCGGTTAGCATTTTCAATTTGCAGATTGTCAATGCAAAGCACAAGAAGAAGAAAGACTAAGTTTGCTTTTTTGTTGTCACAATGGCGGAGCCTAGTAGTAAAAGTAAGAGACTAATGTCTTTGGAGGCAAAGCAAATCGCTAAAATCAGAGTAAACATCGGTGCAGCCTATGCTAGTTTAAGGAAGCTAAAGGAGTCTACAAAACCAGCGACTGATGGTGACCTGGCTTTGTTGCTACTGGACTTGTAAATAATAGTAATTTTTTGTCCAACAGTGTGGATTTTTTTTTACTTCATGGTGTATAGCATTAGTTGGTTTATGTTAGTGTTAGCACAGGCTTGTTTACAATGGTTGTAATTTCACTTTCAACCAGTAGAGGAAGACCAGGAAACTGCTGTGTGTTACTTTAATGTTTAAAAGAGTCCCGAACGTTGACCTTTTTTTTCTTATTGTTTTAAACAAATCATCGTATCTTATGATTCTGACTCAGGGATGTTTGCTGTCAAGCGATTAGATTAATTGTTTCACAGCTTTGGCATTCCTCTGAACTGAATTGGTTGACTGTGGTACTGAGTTATTGTTACAACTTAAAACAAACCGCTTAGAACGTGAATAATTGTCTAATAGAGTGAGAAAATGTTTCGTTTCAGTTTGAAAGTGATTTTTTCTTCTTTTCACCATTTTTCTTAGCTTTTCTCATTATCTCCATTCCACCAGATGATAAAGCAGCTGAGCAGCAGCATGGCGGAGCGTTTAGTCGTATTTAATAGAAACAGATATGTGGAATGCTTGTGGGATGGCCACCCTCATCCGGCCTCTCTATAATATTTATGGATGCTGATCTGTGGTCTGTCAGTGGTCAGAAATCACCCCGTATCTGTTTTCACCAGGATCTCTTCCAGTAAACCAAAAGTCACTCTCCTCACCTTTGGCAGAGGTTGTAATTTAAGACGTGCATGCGAGGCTATGAACGAACGGCTCGTACCAGGCCCAAGTCCGTGTCCACTCGCTTGTTATTCGTCTTTTTATGGGTTTGGACGTAATGTAAGCAACTTTTGTTCTCATAGCAAAGACCTGGGTGTTCGCTGTGTTTTTGGACGCTCTAAATCACCTCCCCGTTTTCTAAAAATCAGCACTTTGTCTTGTTTTGTTGCTCCTAGTTGGCCCTTAGGAGGGTAACCACAACGGCAACAACAAGCAGGGACAAGGATGAAGCCTATAGGATGAGACGCGTGATAAAGAGCAGATCTCACTATGTGGTGGTTTTAAACAAACACCGGTGCTTTCCACTCAACTAAGTATTCTTTTAGTTTGATTTAAGTTAGTTACCAGGTCAGAAAACACTTTTATTCTTAATGAACTAAAGTTGTTTTTCAGGTGAGAGAGCTGGAAGGCATCCCGCTCATCCTGGATAACTGCAACATAGACGGCAACAATCCTTGTATCCTTTATTTCAGTGACTTCCTGTTTGCTTTTAAAGCACAAAAAAGTCTAAATTATTGTTTTATAGGCAAGTATCAATCAAGAGGCTTTTACAAATTTGTTTTTATTTGTTAATGGCTGCAGGAATAAGGAAGTGTGTGCGAAGCTGAATGTGGGGTCAAGTTTACACGTGTGATTATAACCCTCTACTTGATAGAGAAAATGTGTACATTTTATTGAAACATGCACACAAAAAATTGATATATGAAGATGTTTGAATAAGAAATAACTGATGTTTTTCATTTATGCATTTTAAATTCTATTATCATTATTTATGTAATTATTTTTTTAACCCTTCCTGCCCCAAATGATTAAAAAATGCAATGAATGCATATTTATATATTCATATAGCTTTTTTCTTGGTGTGGAAGTTAAAGAGTTAATATTCCTTAATTTTTTTTATCCTTGAAATATTTGAGTCAGAATCTGCTTTAAGAAGTAACTGTTTTATCACCTGTGATATAAACATTTTCTCTGAAACCCTCCGCCTGTAAAAAGAACATTTTAAAGGGATACATTGTAGCTTTTTCATATTTTAAAATAATTTTCTTGAGCCAGTCTGTGCTAAAAGGCCACCCAGCGCCTATCACCCCCGTGGCCAAAATATTCCACTCGTAACTTCAGACTGGTGGGCCGCTTTGTTGGGACTTGGAAAAAATGGAGCTGACATACCTGGCGCTGCAGTCTGCTTCCAGCACATTTCCTGCATGTTTTAGGTCATGAACACCGCTGATTTGTTTAATTTCGTGATGAATCACTGCTGTAGACACTAAGGAAGGCTGGGAGACATTTCAGGTGTTAGATTAAGGTGTTAAAAAGACAAACGCACAGAGAGGAGATACGTTTTGGTTTTGATTCTACAAATGGACACTAGGGGGTGCTAAAAGCAAGCCAAAACTGCCTAGCTTCCCACATGTGTGGATTGTTTCCTGTTCAGCTCATCTGGCCAATAAAGCTTGAATTTGAACTTTTTACAACCAAGTAAAAGTTAATTATTTAGAGTGGGGGTATTAAGCCCACACACTATTATAAGTGTGTGACAATAGAGGCATCTTACCAGGCTGACTCTACATGGCCAGGCTCCGTCTATTGCTCCATGGTGTGAGACCATTTTGTCCAAGAGGAGATGTTTTAAGATTTTATAGGGAAACTTGAGAGGCACAGAGCAAGTCTGTGAAACCGTTTTGTTGGTGTCAGGTTGTATTTAAATTCTGCCATCTAAGACAAATCACAAGCAGCATAAGTTTAACATCCTCAGTTAATGATTGAAGAGGTCCATTTTAACCTTTTAAGGTAAAACTTATTAAAAGGGTTGTGTGTCTTGTCTGCTGTCCTGACCAGAATCGGTGAAGGAGGACCAGCCTCATTCTGCTGCTTGTCTCTGGGAAAAAAAGTGCAGGATGAGGAAGCTGTAAAACTTTGCTTTTCCAGACTTTTTTAATGTGAATCAGTCGTAAAATAAAAGAAAGCGGTAACATGACATTTATACATTGTTCTGAGCTTCACACACACACACACACACACACACACACACACACACACACACACACACACACACACACACACACACACACACACACACACACACACACACACACACACACACACACACACACACACACACACACACACACACACACACACTAAGCCCTTTTGCCATCCTGCAATGTTTCCCCATACAATTCTTTTTTTGTGTGAGGGATTGAAGGAGGTTTTCTTGCTCTGCTGTGGCAACCACTGCAAGGGTAAAGACCTCAGACTCATTCAGGTTATTCTTTTTAAATAAAGCCATTTTCTTGACACTTCCCTCTTAATTTATGAGTGACTCTAAGAAGTGGAAACCATCTTTCATGGTTTCTAGTGGTAATATTTGTTGGTTTAGTGAAGCGAATCTGCCATCAGGCCCCAGAAAATGTGAACTCGGAGTAGCTTTTTCTGAGTTATTCAGTTTCAGTATCGAGGAGTTTTGAGTAAAGGTGGAATTGTCATGTTTGGGTTTATCTAACTATCTCATTAACTATAGGATTCAATGTTCAGAAACTCTCAAGGTGTTTATTAGATGTACGTTTATAGACAAATCTGTTTTTAAATGATTTTAATACAGGATGACCTCCACAGCTGATCTACACAAACATGTTTATGATGAAGTAACTTGTACAGGTGCCTAGTCAAATGTTTGATGTGGGTGTAGTTCAGCGGCGTCCTCAACGTCATGAGTTGTGTGCGCTCTCACGTAGCGCTATTTTAAACGGTTACATCTCTATCGTTCCATAGCAAAATATTTTATTTTACATCTCTGCAGTGAACAGCAGAGGGCGACATTTTCATTTCCTGTTTATCTTTTTTTTTAGATGTTTTTTTTACACAGTAAGCCATTGAGTAATCAGAAGGGTTTTCAGTAACTTTCCTTTAACCAGTGACCTCTAGTTATCAGCCAGTGGGCCATCTTCACCATCAGGAACCTCCTGGAGAACAACAAGGAGAACCAGGAGCTGGTTGCCAGCCTGGAGCGGCGGGGCCCGGCTGACTACTCCGCGCTCCGAGAGCTGGGATTCCAGGTGGAAGAGCGCGATGGAAGCTTGCTGCTCAAACCTGTGAGGAAAGACACCTAAAGACCATCAAACAGAAGGTTCTCCTCCTCCAGCTTACTGGGAACAGCTAAACTAGGCACTCCTTGTCTTATCAGCCTCATCGATGCTGCCTCAGCTGCATCTGCTGGTTCAAGACCAGAAAGAAAACTGCCCTAAACACTACTGATAGAATATGTAAGAAAAAAAACCTGATTTTGCTTGAAATTTCTTAATCTGAAAAGTATTTCCAACTACTTTTCTACCTCAGCTCTGCAGGGTTTGAGTTAATATTCAAAGGCCGGTCCAAAAGTCAGCAGGTCAACAGCTCCTGCTTTGTCCTGGTTTAAGTTTGGGAAATAAGGAATTGGTGAGTTTGAACACATGCTGGCATCTTTTAAAAAGGCCGTTGTCTTGTGAGTAAATCCAAAGACAAAGAGCACCACGGTGTCCAGGCCTGTCGCCTTTCACAGACGACGACATTGGCAGCAGGAGGCAGAGTTTAATTTAGTGGCTTTTGCTGCAACCATGAAACTTAAACATGGCGTAATCAACCCCCATGTGGCCTTAACTAATGAAAACAGTGGCATTATGATCTTAATAACCCGTTTATTTAAACATGCATATAAGTATTAACATCTGAAGTCATCTAAGTGAATGATTTATTAATACAACTAATAATCTCAGGTGTAAAACGTAATAAACTGAAGGTGCATAACACCACACGGGTTCAGAGCCTCTGCTTGACTCGGATATGTAAAAACAAGACTTTCTGCGTCTCTTCTGGCTTTTGCACTGATATTTAATTATGAGTTTGATGCATAATAACTTTTATCTGTGGATGCATAAGGTCAAAAGAGTTCTTACAGCTGATTCAGCCTTTCTATAAAGGAATGTGTTGGACTCCCACCAGACTCCACGGACCATTGTTAGACTTTTAACCTGCTCTTCTCCGAGAGGTGCATGCTGGGAGTGCTCATTCACAGAGTAAACACATGAATCAGATGAGAAGCATCAGTTTGCGAGCTGACATTCATCTCTGCTCCTCCTTCTGCCCAATAAGCTGAACGGTTCTGACATTTTAACAATGCGGCGCTTTACGGGCCTGCACACACCCTGCTCCACCCTGTTTTCTCTGCTTCCAATTTTTAATGACAAAATGTATCGAAACAATCGCCGGGACTTTCCCCCCTCAATCCAGCACCATAGTGAAGGGAGCTTACGCGGTTCCGGTCCCTCAGATTTCAGACGGCTAACAAAACAGCTGTTACGTGTGCTCCAGTGGCTGGCTGCAATGCTTTTCAGCCCCCACAGGAAAGGGGGTGTGCCAGTCAGCTGGGCTGAATGAGGTGGCTCGACTGCAGCCGGCCGTTCAGCTCCCCATCAAATCAGACCAGGCAGGAGAATCAGCGTTTTACACCGCTGTTTTGTTTCTCTGCTTATGGTTTGATACCGGCCCCGAACAAAACCACCATTCTCCACATTTAAGCAGGGTAATAAGGACTAATAAAGTTGTACAGATTTTTAAAATGTAAATGTGACCAAAGCTGAAATAAAACTTAAAAGGATGTTTAAATATAATAAAAGCAAAAAATGTCACATTTCTTTTGATACAGACTTTAATTTTTGCCACAAACAAACGTATAAACTTAAATTTGCTTTAGTTATGTCTTTAGGAAATACTTTTGTGCTCTCATTACTTTAAAAAGTACACACAATGCTTTGAAAAAGTATTTACCCCCCTTAAAGATACTTTCGGATTTTTCCTTTTTCACACTTAATTGTTTCAGATCAGTAAGCAAATTTCATTATTGGACTAAAACAACCTGACTTACAAGATTCAGCTTTCATATAATTTATTTTATTAAAACATTTCAAATCATCCTGGGTCTGTGGAAAAGCTGACACACTAACCCTACTTCACACTGGAAGCATCAGCGGAATGTCACTGCTTCAAATAGTCCATTATAGTCTACGGGGGTGATTCAAACCAGCCATGACGCAGAAATCCACAAGTAACATGGGGCTAGACAGGAAATCACATTTTCTGTATAAAACGCTCGGTAATTTTCAAAATAAAAGACTATTGCAGCGATGCGATTTCATGGATTACGTCAACACAAGTGACCCACAGCTTATTTACTCCCAGCATTGTTCCAGAAGTGCAGCGGTGTGTTTTTATGAATTTAATCCTGGCGGGGGAGAGGAACAACATATGTGACATCATATGTGATTTCCTTCTTTTTGGATTAATGGCATAAACTCTGTGATCCTGCGAGTCCAGCGAGGAGCATGGCAGAGAAGCCGCTTCGCAGCTGAGGTTCTCCCAGTGTGTAGTGGCTTGCAGCGAAAGTCGCGAGTAAAACGTTCCGCTGCCGTTTCGCTCTGCTGAAGCTTCCAGTTTAAAGTAGACTTTAGTTGTCATAAAATTGGAAAAACAGGAGAAATCTTACAACTTTTTCTACAGTACTGTTGTAGTTTACTGCATTTTCCTAAGTGTCAGGTTTTTTTTTACCTGCTTTTCCTCATCTAGTATGTTTCCACAAACTTCCCTGTAGTACCATTAATGGTGTAACTCAGGTGAAGGGTTAAGGGTCTTGTTAATAAAACAAATGGAGTATTTACTGCTTAGGTACTTTGATAAACTCCAAATAAGTTACAACGTTCAAATATATTAATACGATGACACGCAAAAGGCTCGTCTCTAAATTCATCTTAAAGTTACCATGACCTAAAGGGCCACGTTCCTCATATAAAAATATACTCTTCAAATTCTTTTGTAAGCCTAAATAAACTACTCTAAATACATTAAGTGTGCTACCCAGAAAGGCCTTTGATGGTCTCAGACTCCCATTTCTTTGTGGTCAGGATTCGTGCCAGCAATCGGAGCGGGTCTAAACCACGCTGGAAGGCTTTGTGTAAGCACAGTCCGCGTGTGGAATTCCACGCCTTCGCTGCTCGAGGGAATGCTGGTTGTGTCTGAACCTGATTACACCTCTGTCGAGGTTTATGTTTAATTTTTAAAGTACAAAGTCCTCCAAAAATCAAACGATGAACAGATTCTCCCTTTGCTCCCCTCTGTCCTTGTGTGACTCATGTCTTAGGAAAAAGGGTTAAACAATGACCAAAAAACTACAAAGGAAAACAATTTGTTGTGAGAAGGGATGCTGATGGAAATGATGCTCTTCAGTGAATGTTCTTCACATGAGAAATGAAGATTATAATGGGGATGTTGGAGCATAGATGTGGTTAACATTGTTGGTGCCTTTCTGTTGGACAGTAAACAACACAATACTTTACAAAAGTGTAATAAATAAAGATTTACTGAAAATCAGACATTGCTTTTAAAATGTGATTCAACAGAACAGTTACAAATAACAAACTGCTGAAAGTTGTCTGGACTTAAATGGTGGTACCTCCAGAAAAGATTGATTATGATTTGAGCACGGGACATGTTGCACTAAGGTTTGTCCTGTAATCAGCATCAGTTATAGGGATGTAAGAAAATATCGATATGGCAATATATCATGATATTTTTTCCAGCGATATATCGATATTCAAAAGCAGTGTATTTCATTTGGGGAAGAATTTACTTGCAAATGTTTGTGTATTTTCTTTTCTTTGGTGTAATTCAAACGCTGGCTGCTAGTTGGCAACAGTGTGCAATGGGTTTTGTTTCCACCATTGAAATGTAAATCCATCTATTATGATTCAGATACCTCTTGTTAAACATGTTAAGTATCAGTTTGGACTGTTTATTGAATTCTCCTATAATTAATTCAGCATAAAAAATTGCTCATATCGTCTGACTGAATGTATTGCAATAATATTGTGATATATTGTATCATTTCCCCTGTATTGTAATACGTATCGTATCGCAATAATTTCACCAATGCATATCCCCAAAATCGGTCTTCAGTCTTATAATCAGTCAGTCGGCCTTTTTAAAGGTTGAACATAGTCACAGGGCTGTTTGGTATCAGGGTGTGTACCACATTGAACATGCATTACAGAGAACTCAGGAGAGCAGAAAGACAATTATTGACCAGCATAGTGAAGTTAAAAGGTCATATCCAGACATGTTCACGTATTCAGACATTTAAAGCCCACGTTAGCCAACCTCCCTGGATGTGACCTCATAATGGATGACGAGTTAAAGAAACTGATCACCAGTGAACCTAGAAAAATGCCCAAGAGATCAGAGTTGGACTGCAAGGTACATCACTAGCCTCATCCATCGCAATTCAAGCCAAAGTGGACTTAATGGAAGACGGCCACATAGGACATAATTTTTAAAGCAAATCATAAAAACGGGAGAGTGGAATTTGACAAATGTTTGATGTCAAGCCTGAAAGATTCTGGGAGAATGTCCTTTAGATGGATGAGACAAACCTGGAGCTTATATCTCTTTGAAACGTACATAAAAACACTGAATCTATGGTGAAACATTGAGGAAGCTTAGTTCTGTTTTAGAACTTTTGTTCTTGCATCTGACTCAGGGTGTTTGAGACATTCTGGAGCTAACTGAAACTCAAACACCCAAGAATGACTAAGAACTGGACTATTCTAAAATGGCCTTTTATCCTGATGTGAAGCCTGATGTGAAGCCTATTCAACATCAGTAAAGGCGGCTGAAACATCTGGAGAGGACCCCCTTCATTCCTGCGATAGGTGGACATAGACTTCACACTAAGAGTCACAGAAATCACTTAAAGAGCAGGTTAAGTGAGAACCAACTTTTACTTATTATTTTTGAAAATGATAAGTCACTCTGAGTTGAACATGCAGACTAAATGTCTTCTACCCCTATCTCTCACATTAGCCTCATAGAAAATAGACAGAAAAACGTCTGACAGATCTAAGTCACACGGTCACGTAACGTTCATGGACTCGCCCATCTTAGCTCGCAACAGGGAAGACTGTTGTTGGTTTAGCATCCGGAAACATCAGGGAACGTCTCGACTAGTAGAAGCTAACCATTAGCATCAGCAGTGTTGCAGAGCAAACGGAGTTGATGGTAGAGTATCATTGCTGTTATCAAATGCGAGGCAAGATGTCCAAATATCAGGAAATAAAGTTAAAGTCGCATTAGTCATCACCCACCAGTGAAAATCATCTCCGCATTAGACCCATCCCTGTGAGGAGCGGTGAGCTGCAGCTGTGGCCGCGCTCAGGAACCATTTGGTGGTTTAACCCCCCAATCCAACCCCTCTAAAGCGGAGTGCCAAGCAGGGAGGCATTGGGTCCCATTTTTAAAGTCATCGGTGTGACCCAGCCAAGATTTGAACCTTGTCCCAGTCCCAGGGCGGACACTCTACCACTAGGCCACTGAGAAGACTAGACTCTGCCGTCTGAAGCTACTGTCTCCTCCAGCTGACTTCTAGGTCCTCAAACAGGAGCGTCTGAGATTTTTCCAGAAAACGACTTACAAGCCATTCATTCCTACTAGAGACCATTGCAGATGTATTAATTAATATGAGTGAACTTGACCTTAAACAAATGTTTCCTTCAAATGTTTGCAACAAATCCTGAGTTCAAAACCAATGTCTGAATTCTGGTATTTCAAAGGGTTTTTCTTTCCATAACAGGAGGATACCAACAATTATATCCATGTCAGTAACTACGAATCTAGCAAGGCTGTACAGTTTAAAGATGTTTTACAAAAATAATTGCTTAATTTTCAGTGTTTCAACAGAATACAGTGTAAGAGGACCGTTTGGCTGCAGTCATTTAGGCTTTATCTGAACCTGGCTTGGATCAGAGTAACCCAAATGTAGTGTTACCTTTTTTCATTTTGCTCTACACTTATGTATTATATACATCATATAAAGATGTAACAATAAAGCTTTATTGGATGCAAACGAAATTCAGACGTGATTTTGAAGTCCTATCATTTCTGCTTTGTCTCATTTTTTCAAGTTGGAAGCAAGTGTACCATAAAGGTTCCCAATGCCTTCCACACTAGCCGCAGCTCCACTCGGCCCAGATAGGGTATGGGGTGTCCACATTTGTAGAGCACAATGAATGCACTATCAGAGTCAGTCTCCAAAAACAACACTGCTCATGGCTGCCTTTTTTGTTTACCACAGACTTCTAACAGTGTCTTTTGCCCTACCCGCATGCTTAGTGATGCGCTCATGACTGATTTCGTTGCACCAGTTTTGCATACCTCCCATATGCTCAGTCACGTCTGCATTCATGTGTGTAATCAACCCGGCCAGGCTGTGCGGAGTGGAGCCGGCGCTAGTGTGAAAGGGGCTCAAACCTTGTCATATCTCATTTTGTTATCATCACCAAATAGGATGTTAAAATGTGCAAAAATGTTATCCATCACTCCAAGTCCCTCACTTTGGATCCCCTATTTCCTTTTGCCTACTTGCAGGTGAAAAGTTCAGATGTCTCACTACAGGTGTTGCACTTAACGAAGCAGCACCAGTGGAATTTGCAGTTGCATTGCCACACTCGGGTGTAATGGTGTGTGTTGTAACCCCGGCCGCAGCACATCACATTGCAACCGACTGTTTGGGTTGACGTGCCGTTGCACAGTCTGCCTCTTGTCCCTGTGCTCCCCGTGGCCCGGTCCTCCTCACAGTAATTGGGAGAACGCTCCAGGTACACCAGATCTGTGTCTGTGGGCTTCTGGTAACCCCGAGAATCTTTCAGACGTAGGAAGGAGGGCTGGCGGAGTCGTGAGGCCCGAACCGGCTCTACTTGCACCGCCTCGCTGTAGCGTTCCTTCAGCATGTAGCCGATCTCTCTGAACTTGGGCAGGGTGATCCAGCAGGTCCTAGTGGTGCAGGACCCAGATACACCATGACACTTGCACTCCAGCTTTGTCCTCTCCTCCAGGATCTGCTCACAGAGAGGAAAGATTTTACTAAAGATGGAACTGTTGGAAACATGTCTATTCACTGTAAAATGTTTGGTTAGTCTCTCTTTTTTCGCTTACATTTCTGTGGGCGCTTCAACTTTTCAGCACATCAGCCGGTATGCTAACTTTTTTTCAGAAACCACAAAAGTGTAGTCTTAAATTAACTTCACCTTTTCTCAGACCACAGAGTTGCGTGACAGGAGAAAAAACTGACCAGAGCTGTTGTGTAACCTAGCTCGTATAGTATTACGTAGTGCTTTGAGCCAGATTTACATTATAATGTCTTAAATATTTGCAAATGTCATAATAGACAGGTGATTGATTTCAAAAACCTTTCTCTCGATAAAGTATTATCAATAAAGGATATTTCATTTAGGCTATAATAAAACGGAAACGTATTCGTCAAATCAGCAACGTTGTTTTTTATTTTCTTTTTTAACAGTCTTGTGTGTGTGTGTGTGTGGGGGGGGGGTGCTCTTGACCCTTTGATTCTGTCTGTGCTGAAGTTTGATCTGCGTTACTGACCATTATTTGCCTGTGCAACATTTTTCTTGTGTCTTTGTAAAAGTCATCTTTTTGCTTAAACAGTGGCATTGCACCAAACCGCTGGTGTTACCTTTCGACCTGCCTCGTTGTTGTGCAGATTCATCAGCCGGCGGGCGTTTTTTCTGATCTCGCGGGCATCCACAAAGCGCCGTGAAAACTCCACGCCATACTTGATGTCGGCTGAGCAGCCTCCCCATTTCCAGCCCTCCTCTTGGGTGTGGTAGCCATGCTTCTCACGGTCGCAGCCACACTGGTTCAGGTTGCCTTGGCTGCAAGCTGTAGTCACTGCATGGGCAACTCCAGCTGCTGTGATGGCGTAAGTGAATGCTGCCTCCTTGCTTCCTGGAAAAAAGCAGGATCTGAATAAATTTTGAAAGGTTCTATTTTTTTTCAATTGGAAACTTTTATTTGAGCCTCTATAGAGCACATGAAACTTTGTTGGGGCTCACAATGGCCCAGGAGCCTCAATAAATTGCCAAATACAACCCCATAATAAAGCCCTATGGGGAAAATACTGGTTGACCTGGCCCACTTGGGTATGGAATTAATTCTAAATTAACTACATTCTGAGGGTTGATTGGCCCAGATGGCTCTATTATGCTGACTAATATTAGAAACTGTGTGCAGTCGTATACGGTAGGATAACTCAAGCAAGCTATAGATCTGTCTGTGATTTATTCAGTCTGGATAATTCCAGTACATTCTGGAACATTATATGTCTGCTCCCACATTATACTTTGCTGTTTTTGCCTTGTCCAACAAGGACATTAGCAATAGCTCAGTGTAGTGTGGTACGGAGTTTAGTGTTGGCGTGACTAATGCTTATTTATTGCCAGCATTGAAGTGGGTTTGGATATGCATGTAAGGAGATGTGTCCAAGCTTATGAAGTGTTGGAGAGGTCCTTCACTGAGAAACTATTTTTACTTATTATTTTTGAAATAATAAACTCTGAGTTTAACATGCAGACTGAGTGTGAAAATTGTGTGCCCTACACCCATTTACTGCATTAGTCTCTTATAGAAAATAGACGTTGCAACACTAGGATTTGAAAAGCCTGACAGATTTACGTCAAGCTGTCACTTGAACTCAACCATATTGACTCTCGAAGGAGATGGCTGTTGGTTTCGTATCCAGTAAACAGCAGAGGATCTTGCAACTAGTAGAAGCTAACTGTTAGCATTAGCAACTACACCACACAACAGAACTCCTTCAGTGGAGATGAAGTTGGAGATTCTGGATTGTAAACTGGATTCTCTACTGGTTAGCTCAGATGCAGCTTTTCAGTGCTAAGCTGCTCTGCCATGTTTAATTTCTTCCTTAAGGGTGAAAAAAAAATCCCTTTCCTGATTATTTTTCCACATAAGCCCCACTTGCTCGAGTATCATTCTGGTTAAACCACCCAGAATCTTAACATGTAACACTCAAACTGAGGACCATGAAATCTGAGTTGCATTTCTCAGACTTTTTTCTAAGTGGTTACACTGTCTGATCTTGATGGGAACTTGCTAGGACATCCACTTCTGAGAGGACTGACAGCATTATTATGTGCTTTGCACATGTGATACACAAGACCAGCCAAAACATGACGGGTAAAGTGCTGCTCATTTTGCCCAAATGTTTGGGAATACTAGGTATTATTATCCATGTTACCTGACACATGCCACCAACCTAATCATTTCTTTGACACCACAGAAACATCACTTCAGTAACAGGACCCATTTCCAAACTGCTTGGGAATTGCTCCGTACGCCTTCCCAGATCGATGGGCAGCAACAAATGCTTTTCTTAGATTAATATCACCCACTAAATAGAGGAGAATACTTTTGTTTTTGTGTGCTTTGTTTGCAAAATGTGTCATGAACCACCAGACACATTTGAATGAATCAATGTTTTGGATCTTCTACACTGCAAAAACAAATTCCTAAGAAAGTAAAAAAAAAAAACTCATTTTTGGACTTTTTTTTATTTTTAGTCTAAGAATAAAGAAATCTAGAAAAATAACAATGCTTGAAATAAGGAAAATATTTTAAATATGATCCAGTAAAAAAAATCTTACAGTGGGGTAAGCAAACTTTGCTTGGCTATAAGTCTTAGAATTGGCTAATAAATCTAAAATCAGATTCTTTTACTAGTTTCAAGAATACTAGTGAAGTGTGTTTTACTTACCCCACTGGTAGATTCTTTACTCAAAACAAGAAAGTTTGGATCATATTTAAGAAGATTTACCTTGTTTTAAGTAATGCTATTTTTCTAGAGAAAAATTGTTTTGTTTTTTAGACAAAAAATTTGAAAACATGTCTAAAAATGAGGCTATTTTACTTTTGATAAAATCAGTTTTTGCAGTTTACTTGAATATATGTTTTCTTATATTTAACTACATCCAGCAGGAGTACATTTAAAGCTAGAGAATGTTTATTTTTCCTGTAATCTTACGGTCAGAATCGGATCAGACTACAGAAGGTCTTGTTTGGTACTCTTGTCACTGCTACATCTCAGTAGTCAGCGGCTGTCAACGCAATAATCACAGCAGGGAAGGAAACTAAGGTGACATCTACTGGCTGACTGGAGCAGCTTTTGTTGTACACTTTGGCTCATTTTGAGTTGCTGTGATTTAATGTTTTCTCATCAGTGGGATTTCTCACGCAGCTTATGTGTCCCTCTGTTTGTGTCCACATTATTACAGAAATGATACTGCTGTTATACACGTCCAAATAATCTGGACCGAGCTTTTCTACGTTTGAGCTTCGTCGTAAAGACGTTTCTATTTATAGAGATGGGGGTGGGGGTGTTCAATTATTGGCGCTACAGCTGGGAATTGGATATCCACCCGCTTCAAATGGGATAATGCTGGGCCTGTGTTCTTCTCACGGTGTATTAATGCATGGCATCTCTGTTTGAGGAGATTGTGATGGCTCTCTTCCAACTTGACAAACCCATTCGCAGAAACCATCAGGCCTGCGGTTCCTCCGCTCCATAACTCAAAACAAACTCTGAAGTCTTCTCTCATCAAGCTAAGTCTTTGCCTCGTTCGGATGCATTGCGCGGTGGCGAGCGTTTCTCAAGGCATCAGGCGCGAGCAAAAGCCAAACAGCCATCTCTTTGCACTGTGATTTGTTTTGATTGAACAGCCGTGCATATATGCAGGGCTCCATTGTTGCCATCCAGCTGCTGGAGCTGACTCCAATTAGTGGTTAGCGTGAATCTCTGGTGTTTTTCAGTGCTTAATGAATTCACAGGCCCACCATGGGTCAATCAAAAGAGCTGGTGGAAGTGACATTCAGCTCACAGGAGAGGCTTTTGTTTTAGAAAATGAACTTGTTTCTATACAGTTGGTGGATTCTGTTTTAAAATAGTCATTTACCAATTTAGCCTTACGCTTACATTATTAAGACATGACCAAAATGTTGCAAATCAAGTGTTCCTTTGAGGTTGTTTGCCCAAAGAAAACAGATACTTCCTACGACAAAAGCAATAAATGGATCCAGACATCTGGTCGAAAAAAGAGATCACTCCCAGAACTTTTGGACATGGATCCAAACCCACAGCCGTACAGCAACAACACATTTCCAATTGAAGTGCAGTTTATAGAAGTAGTTCATGCTAGTATAAAAAAAACATTTTTTTAAGGCGTGGGAAACGGTTTGATTAATTCCGAAGATCAGCCTTATGCACACGCGCACACACTCTACAACCTAGAGTTCAATGTGGTTGATACTTGTGGACGTTTTACCTCTGGGTAAGGACAAAACCCTTTATCCAGATTGGTTTGGTTCCACCTGCAGGTGCACATCAGGCAGGTTTCTAGTCTAGTTTCTGGTTTATTTCTAGTTTCCCTTAGCAGGTTTCTCTGTCATCATATTTCCTTTAGTGCTTCCCAACAGACTGACCTACTCTCAGCTCTTGTCCAAAGACGGTCCTCTCTCCCAGGGCGGAGCAGTTCCACCTGCCATAGCGAAACTGGTACTGACACTCGTTGATGCCCAGCTGGGCGCCTTCGCCGATGACGATGATGGCATCGGGTCGACTCTGACAGAGGGCCCTCTGACGCGGCGCCAGTCCTGGGATCTTGTTGCAGATGATGTTGGCTCCTAGAGCGACCACAGAGGACAGCGCCCTGTAGACACGCAGATGAGGATTACAAAGAGACAAGATGGGCACCAATCCGTCTCCAGTTTGGGAAAAAAAAAGTTATGATCCACTTTGCAGACACTGAGCTAAGTTAGATGATTAATCAGGAACATACTCAACATGAATGGATTTATCATCTAAAATCCAACAGTGAATTACAGAAGTGGCTTCAGATCATACATTTTGGTCACTTTGGTGGCTGAAAACATCAACCCTCCCTACAGCTGTTTTAGTTCCCAGAGCAGGAGCTGCACTTGACATGAATGAGAGGAGAGTATGGTGCAGCAATCACATGGATTTGGAGGCCTGTGTGGGGAGAAGGAGCTCATTACAAAGGCCTGCCTCTGCACACATAGCATGAGAAAAACTTTTATTTCCATATGCTTCCATTACGGCCCTTGTTTGACGAGGTGTTCCCATGACAAAGTGGTTCTGGTGTAATGTGTAAATCCAGGAGAGCAGGTTATCTCATCAGCCTGCTTCTAAATGTCAAATCATGCAGATTAAATATTGGATTCATTCATTTTTTCCCTAGAACTAAAAACTGTGTTGGGAGGAGAAATCCAATTCTTGGCTCTGCCTCTGCTGAAAGATCAAAAATAATCTAGTTCCCAGCATCCCATGACGTACAACAATTCATGCAGAAAATGCAAATTTCATAGTAAAATGCTGATTTAAAGTAACTTTTTCTGGATTTTTGTCCAATTTTGTGCGTAATTTCTGAATTTACGCACGATGCACAACTGGTGTCTGTGATCGGAAATGAAAAGGAGAAGGTGCGGTAAACGTACAGGTAGCTGCCGCTGGTGAGGATGAGGAAGATCTGCGGGTAGTAGACGGACAGCAGCGCACTGCGGGAGCACATGATGTTCGTGGTTGCGCATTGAACGCAGCTGGATTTGCGCTCTTGGCTTAAAGAAAAACTATCTGATTGAAGATGTCCGCGTTGTGTGTGGTCCAGAAGTTAAAAGCAGTCCGGCTGGATGCGTGATAAGTCATGATAAGTCAGATGATGGAGCTGAGGCGCTCTGCTGCAGCTCCAAGCCCCGAGGTCCGTGCGCCGGAGACGAGAGGCTGCATCCCCGGCCGATGCGCCACTTGGACTGAAACAGGACTAGATGAGGGGGAGAGGGAGGGAAAAAGAGGATGAGGGGGTTTGAAGCGGTTCCGGATGTCCGATGGGTCTCCAAAAGTGTGGGATTAACAAAAGAGGACGCACCAGCCTATAACACTCCTCCTGTCCTGCCTCCACAAATGCCTCCGTTTATAAGATGTTACAATATTTATGTAATCTAGCCTTGATTGAATCTGACCTTGATGCCAGATTCAGGCATCACTAATGATGATTATTCATTTCCCTATCAATTAATTCTGACTTTTATAGCAAAAAATCGCTCAGTTTTTTTTTATTTATTTTATTTTTTGCCCCTTTGCTTATTTGCCTGGAAAGGCGATATTTGTTTATTCAGATTCTTAATAATAAAATATAATAACCAACAACTAGTTCTAGTAAAAATGCAATGATGCATTGGTACTCCTGTGTGCTTCAGCAGCTCCAATTCATGCTAAAGTGTCTGACACTGTAACTCGTTTACATGCTGACTCTGCAGTCGAAAGGGCACCCTCTTGTGGTGAAATAAATAAAAACCCACCAAGTTTTCCCACCAAGGACAGATTACTTTTTTAAAAGCATAGTTTGTTTAAATCCGAAAATGTCTGTCTTAATTGGCTGGAATAATTTACCTAATTTGTGATCAGAAACAGAACAAATTTGGTGAAACAAAAGAAGAAGCAACCTTTTCTTCTGGCCAGATGATAAATGTGTTATGAATGTCTCCTTTGCAGACTGAGGACATTTTCTTCTGGCTTCTCGTTAACATTTGCCAGACTAGAACCGATATGTCAAAGCAGAAAAAATAAGTGCAAGTAGACCATGTTGATAATGCTCCAAAATGACTCATCTGAGCAAAAGTAAAAACAAGCCTCTACAGAAAATGTTTACGGGAAATGAAATGTGGAAGAACATTTTACGTTTAGTTCCCAGAAGCAGTCAACAGAGAGAAGTGACTCAGAGTAAAAAGAAATAAAATATAGAAACAAAATATTCCTACTTGATCATTTCTGAATCCCAAACAAGATGCAACATCGTGGACCCTTAATCCATGATGCTTGTTATGGCCACCAGCCTGGCCTCTATATCCAGGAGCCAGGATCACCCAGCCCCGGTGATCAGCCAGACACTGCCCCTCCTCCTCTCCTCCAGGCTGCTGAGGAACACAGCTGAGCTGAATCTCTCTGATGACCCACACCTGGGATAAAAAGGCTGTGCCTTCAGCCATCTAGGAGGAGGAGCAACAAACTGGGTCTAAGGTGTCGGACGGCTCGGCGTCTGGTCGGGTTGACAGCTACTGCAGGCTGACTATTCGGCACAGCACGTGTTTCGGATTCCTTTGTGGATAGCTGGGCCTTAGGCTGTGCTGTTTGGCAGTGTTTGTGTGTGGTGTGAGCTGGTGATTAGTTCGGCTTCGGTTGGCCTGGAGGAGTGTTCGGAATATCGGCCGACAGCCTGTACAGGCCCGGTACGACGGTGTCATGGCTCTGGCCCGGGTCCTCCCTGTTCCGGGGTAGGTATGGGACGGAAGAATATAGGGAGTACGGGGTTGGCGGCGCCTTCTCCGGTGGTGGAGGGTGGTGGCGCATCTAAGAGGGATCGGCGAGATCGGAGCGACTCGTCGCTGGAAGGTCTGGGAATGGAAGGTGCGGCGAAGCTGAGGAGGTTGGATGGAACTGGTGCGTTGGGCCTGGCAGTCCGTATCCGTGTGGTGTCGGAAGGGGGGTTTGTCGCGTCGAGCCCACTCAAGATGTCGAGGGAGCTGATGGAGAAGGTAGGCGAGGTGGTGGATGCCACCGTTCTGACAGGGGGGTTTTGTTAGTGGTTTGCCGTTCGGAAGCTCAGCTGTCCAAAGTGCTGAAGCTTAAACAGTTTCTGGGGTGGAAGTTGCTGTGACTGTGCGGCAAGATAAGTCTGCGGTGATGGGGTCTTGTACAATGTCCCAAATGATGTTGCAGTGGAGGATTTGTTGCGGGATTTGAGAGGGGGCAATGTGACGGCCATGAGGCGCTTGGGTTTTAACGAGTGGGGTACGACTCCTTGCTGTTGACTTTTGGAGAGGGTGAGTTGCCAGCTCGGGTTATGTTGCGATATGTGATTTATCCGGTCAGGGCATTTGAGAGGGCTCCCCTACGATGCTTTCATTGCCAGCGGTTTGGGCATGTGGTGAGGGCGTGGGTGGAGAGTGAGACATGTAAACGATGCGGAGGGGGGCACGATGGTCAGGCATGTGAGGAGGCTTTTAGTTGCCCTAATTGTGGGGGTGGACATCAGGTGACTTTTCGTGGCTGTGTGTCGTATAGGGAGGCGGTGGCGGTGGAGGAGTTTCAGGTGGGGAAGCAAATGTCCTATGCTGAAGCCGTGTGTAAGGTGAGGGGAGACGGCTGTTCGGGCACTAGTGGATCTGGTGAGCGGGTTGGAGCGCCAACTGAGGTGAGGGGCAGGGTGACGAGGGGCAGCCGGGGGGTAGTGGTGGAGGACCAACTGCTGTTTTTGGCTTTTGTTGTGGAAGCATTGTGGAGGGTGAAGGTGAAGGCGGCACGCAAATCAGATGTGGTTCGGGAGGTGACTGCAACGGCAGAGACGATCCTGGGGTTTATAGAGGTTAACCCCAAGGAAGTGTGGGAGGGGGTGCTGTGGGGGCTCCAGATTCACCAGCGTCTCTTGTTTCTGAGGAGGCGGCGGACATGGATGGGGTTTTGGGAGTGGGTTAGTTCCTGGATATGGCTCTTAGAGTCCTGCAATGGAATGTCCGGAGCCTGATTGCCAACGGCCAGGAGTTTAAAAGGGTGGTGGAGGGTTTACGTGTGTTGCCGGATATTTTTTGTGTCCAGGAAACGTGGTTAAAGCCGGGGCTGGATTTTAGGGTGGCGGGGTATGTTTGTGAGAGATGGGATAGGGAGGGTAAGGTGGGGGTTGGTTTTGCCACATTTCTCAGAGAGGGATTGGAATATCGGAGACAGGAACAGGTCCATGGCTTTGAGTGTGTGCGAGTGGACGTGTGGACTGTGCATGGGAAAGTATTGGTGGTTAATTTTTATAATCCAGGGGAGGGATTAGATGGGGTAAGACTAAGAGGGATAGTAGACGGGCGTCCTCGATCTTGTGGGTTGGGGATTTTAATGCCCACAGTGAGATGTGGGGCAATCGTAGGATGGATGGGAATGGTGGGGTTTTAGAGGGGTTATAGAGGACTGTGGGTTAGTGGTGTTGAACGACTGGCGGCCCACTTGGAACAGGGGGGATGGGCGGTGCTCTTCCGTGTTGGACCTGACTATTGTTACGGCTGACCTGGGGGCAGTGGCTGGTGGGTGGGAGGTGTTGGATGACCTGCAGATGGGTAGCGATCACTCCCCGGTATTGAGTTGGTATGGGAGGGGGCTGCTTGATAACCCCACAGCTTTGGTGTTGGGTTTTAATTATGGGAGGGCTGATTGGCCCCAGTTTTTGTTGCTTTTTGAGGATGGTGTGTGCCAGCTGGGGGATGGTGGGGATGTGGATGCCAGGTGTGCAGCCCTCTCGGACATGTTGAGGTCGGTGGCGGAGGTTCACATTCCCAGGAAACGAGTTCCTCCGAGGAGAACAATGGTTCCATGGTGGACGGAGGCATGTGATGAGGCTATTCGGACCTGGAATAGGGCATTTCGGCATCTGAAGAAGCACCCTGTTGACTCCTATGCTTTGGAGTATCGGAGATTGAGGGCGGTGGCACGAAGGGTGATTAAGATGGCAAAGAAGTCAGGATGGAGGGTTTTCTGTGCCCGAATGGGGACACGGATGACCGTGGGGACGCTGTGGCGAATGGTGCGTTGGATGCCGGGGGCTCGGGTGCAGCAGAGGATTCCAGTACTTAGTGGTGGGAATGTGACGGCAGTAAGAGACGAGGAAAAGGCAGATTTGCTGGTATCTCATTTTCAGAGGGTCCATAGCTCGTCTAATGTTACCTTGGCGGACCGTGCGTATCGGGAGACTCTGTTGGCAGGTTATGTGATCGACTTACGGGATGACGGGGTGGAGGATGGCACTTACAACCAGTTTTTTAGCTTGGAGGAGTTGGAACAGGCAATTGGGAAAGTCAGGGACACTTGCCTGGGGTGGGACGGTCTAGGTTACCCACTGCTGCAACATGCATGAGGGCTTTTTGTGGAGGAGCTGCTGGCATTGATGAATTTGGTGTGGGGGTTGGGGCAGCTGCCTGCTTGAGTGGACTCGGTGGTTCTTCCCTTTTTGAAGCCAGGGAAGCCTCCAGGAGATTCGGGGTCCTACCGACCTATTGCTTTGACGTCAGTCCTGTTCAAGGTAATGGAGCATATGGTGACCAACAGATTGGTTCATTTCCTGGAAGGTGCTGGGTACTTTGCGCCTTATCAGAGTGGCTTTCAGTTGGGGCGCTCGGCGATAGACGCTGTTACGCCTCTGGACTTGGATATGCGGAAGGCCCTGTCCAATAAGGAGGTGGTGGTGGCGGTGTTCTTGGAAATTGAAAAGGCGTTAAAGGTCCTTCACGGGGCTGGGGTGAGGGGTAGAATGCTGAGGTGGATGGGGAATTTCCTGAGTGACAGGACGATTCAGGTGAGGGTGGGATCGTCCCTGTGTAGGTCTATGGTCGTGGAGAATGGGGTCCCTCAGGGTAGTGTCATCAGTCCGGTTCTTTTTAATGTTTTAATTAATGGCATGTTTGGCTCGTTTGATTGTCGAAATGGGTAGATCCGACGGAGCCTTTTGGGGAAGTGGGCGGAACCTGCCCCATGTGTTTCATAAGATGCAAGACAATCTGGATGGGGTTGAGAGGTGGGCAAGGTATTGGGGTGTTAAGCTGTCTGATACTAAAACATGGTACATGATGTTTGGTCTCCGGAGGTCGTCACCGGAGGAGGGGCTGAGGCTGAGGCTTACATTTGAAGGCCAAATGACTGTCAGTTACAGGAATACCAGGATGGTTTGGAGGGGTAAAAACTACACGCTCTGTTTTGTCTTCATTCAACAGTAGTAAGCTGTTTGAGAGCCATGGCTGAAGATCATCAAGGCACAGAGAGGTTATGCTAATGTTTGAAGTGGAACTAATTGAAAGATAAACCTGCACATCATCAGCATAACAATGGAAGTGAAGGTTATGTTTTGTAATAATTTTTCCCAGTGGTAACGTGTATAGGGAGCATAGCAGAGGGCCCAGGACTGATCCTTGGGGAACACCACTAGATAGAGGAGTTGCTGGAGAAAGGGTATCACCTAACTTCCCTGAAAAGGTTCATTCTGACAGATAGGAGGCAAACCATTTCAGGATTGTACCGCCAAGCCCAACATAGTCTCTTAGGCGTGAAACAAGGAT